TGCTGAGGGGAGTAATTCAATAATGCATGCCGTCTCTAATGTGGGAGTCTGGCTGGATGAAATATACATGGGCGAGGAGGGACGGGGGAGGGGGAGGAAGAGGGTGATGATATCACTGAAGCACAGCGGGGGGTCGCAGACAGGGATGGGCAGCATTGTATCATATGGAGGAAGAGTGGCGCGTTTGTTTTGTGTGTAGCTGAGGAGGACTCGAGCCTTCACTGATTTCAGTATCGGGCAGTCCGTCCTTCAGATCACTTTATTCTCACTCTGAAATAAACGCCTCGTCATTAAGCCCGTAGTCCGAGACTTCAGCTCCACCCACAGGGGGATGCGTGGAGGAAACCCAAAGAGGGGGGGGGGGGCGACTTCTGAGAAAGATGACCGTGAGCTTCAAGAGGTCAGGGACTAAGCACACCTTGAAGTCAGGGACACACATGCACACCAGGTCACTATAACGAACACACACGGAGCAGATTGTTTCCGGTACATTGTAATATCAGCCGGATGCAGAGGGACATTGAATAACCCTGGTATGTACGAGCTAGCATCATCAGGCTAATCCAATATTAAATGGACATCTACACAACCAAATGAGTAATAAGAAACATAAAAACGCTCAATATTGGGATTTAAATCCATGCTTGACATTAACAACTTCCTGCTACCTCGGTGCAACAACAGCAGTTTACAACATGAACAGATTCATATTCCGCTCGTGCAGTACAAGAACGGCCAAAAATAAAAGCGAGGCTCTGGACTGCAACTATTGCAGAGAGATTTCAAAGATTGCAACACTCAAAATGATGATAGCAAAGTGTAAGCATTTTGAGGAAAATTGGTTGAAAATTGGAATTGGAAAACCTGTAAAACCCACCATGTTCAAAGGCATTTAGAGCTGACTTTCCCATCCTGCCTGATTTGTGAAGTGCTTTCAGCAGCCGCCAGCTACGGCTTTCCAACCGCAACCGTAAGGGGAGAGGAGAAACGTCACCTCGATCTATGAGAAGTGGCGATTTTATCGGGACATAAATAAATATGAAGCAAACAATTCGCTGCCAGAGACGAACACGAAGAACTAATGTCCCCTCAGTCTGGGCGTGAGAAAGAATCAGTCCATGTGTCAAACCTTTGAGAAAAACACGTTCTGCCAGTGAAAGAACGGCTGATGAGTTTCACTTCAGCACCATGGACAGAGACTCACTAACATCAGTCACATTAAGAGAAGGTTTTACACACCTGCACCACAATGTGACACTTTTTGTCAAACTGCCCTGCGTTGTTTGACAATGAAGAAAACATAAAGTCAAAGCTAAAGTCAAAGCTGAATAATAGACATTTATTCACAATGGATATCAGATGGAAACGATGTGTGTGATGAAGAAATGAGCAACACAAGCTCCAATAAAGGTTGAAACATTGGAGACAAAACATCACTTTCTACTCTTCTCAAATGCTGTTGAAGGAAATACAAATAAAAAGCCTGCTGAAATTGTTCCTTGTGCTCATAGTGGCGCAAAGAAGATCCTATTTAAATGCTAGTTAATGGTGGGAAAATAAAACAAATGTTGTGTTACAGTCCGTTAGCTGTGCTCGTCACCCAAACACTGGGGATGGAAGTGAAAAGAGATCCGTCGCTCACGTCCACTGCGCTCTCCCCCCTCCCCTCCCCCACCGCCTCCCCGCGAGGTCACAGCGCCGCGCTCCTGCTGCTGAACTCACATCGCTCGCTGGGGCCACAGGTTGCGCCGGCGGAGGCCCTCATAGAGCGAGGAGGGCTCACGCCGAGCTGCAACGCGGCGCCGTCTGAGGGCAAAACCACCGATACCTTAAAACACAGCGGGAAGGACTCCCGGCACGTTGTTGCTTCGTGATTTGTCAGTTTAGAAAGCATGAGGCTGATTCAAAGCAAGAAAGGTATTAAATCTATGCAAAATTCACCATTGATTCACATTTGATGTTGATTTTGTCTCAGTTCTTCCTCACATTGCCACAGAATAAAAAGGGCCGGTTTCGGAGACAGGGCTTAAATCAAGACTGAAGTAGGCCTAAATCAGACTAGTTAATCCTGGCTATTTAAGTGGCTTGCATGAACATGGCATAAATTTGGCTTAGTTAGTCTGAGACTATGGAGTCCTGGAGTAAGCTTAATGAGAACACCTGGTTCAAGCCTCATTAGACTAAGTGGAAGCACAGGCTGTTGGTCCAATTGTGCTCATGAAAACCTGAAATGGAGTATGAAACACCATTGTTGCAGTGAATTTTGAGACAACACAATGTCAGAGGCAAAGAGAATTCGCTCCAAAAATTATAGTGAGCATGAAAAAGCACTACTAAAACTAATTGTATCGAACCATCCAGTCATTGAAAGCAAAATCCATACTGCTGCTATTGAACATAAGAAAAGAAGTGCTTGGACTGCAATTGGCAAAGAATTCAATGCAAATGAAGATGTCACCACAAGAACAGTACAACAACTGCAGGTGAGTTAATCTTCATTATTAGGCACAAAAATATGTGTTTGTTTCCTGTTGCCTATACCCTGCTTATTTATGGCCTACCCAAATACAATACTCCTGCTGCTTGTAGCATTCACATTGAATGAATATCCTGTTTAAAAGGATAGTAACCTATTTTAAAGGGGCATATGCATGTTAAACATGGTGGTAGAGTAAGATATGTTGCACAAAGGAAAATCCATACCTATATGTGAGGGGGAAAGAAATATACAATCATTTCTCCACCATGACCTAAATTATCAGGAGACAAACTTATTTTTATTATGCCTTATCAGTACCAGTATTTCAGATTTCCCATATTACTATTTTTGTGACATCAAAAAAGAAAACTAATGAATGATATCTGCCTTCATAGGTTCTATGGAAGAACATTAAACTGGGATTAAAAAAAGAGAATGCAGCAAGCAGAAGAGAGCGATTTATTACAGGTGGTGGACCACCAATAAAGGACACATGTGATGAATTGGGTGACTTGCTGTCTGGTATAATAGAGCACCAGCAACCTCTGGATGGTATACCAGACAATGACCATTTGGACAGTGAACATGGAGAACTGAGCACAAATGGTAAATATACCTTAGGAAGTAAATTGGTTACAGGACCATATTAGTTGATTTGAGTTTGGAACAGTGGTCTTTTTTTCCAGAGGAAACCAATCAAGAGCCAGTTCACAACGAGCCTGAACCCTCCACATCTGCTATGGCACCCCTGGGAGATGAAGCTGCTACCATCCAACAGAGACCAAAAAAGATAACTATGCATGAAAAGTTAGCCAGAGAATTTCATGAGCGTAAAATTGAATATTTAAAAGAAGAACATGAAATGAAAATGAGAATTCTAGAGGTTGAACTGGATATGAAATTGGGAGAGAGGGCTATGCTCCAAAAAAGAATTCTGCATACTAGTAGCCATGGTGAATATAAGGAATTGTGAAAAATAAAAATAAATGTATTGTCATTTGGCGTGTGAGTGAGTATTAATCATCACAAACTACATTTTACCCGACTTGGTTCACTAGTTTAATTTTGCTACATTATTGTAATTTTGTACAGAAACAGTATGCAAGCACCACCATACCATAATGGATACATTCCATATTTAAATGCTGAAGTGCTGCACTGTGAAAGCAGCTCTGTGTGCAAGTCCTCGCTGGTCATTGGCTGCCTCTGCCACCATGGGCACATCTGCATCATCCTGATCTTCCATTGGCAGGTCAGGACAGCCATGCTGCTTCAGGTAGTTGTGCAGCACAGCTGTAGCAATGATCACTTTGCAGCATCTTCTTGGCTTGAAACGAATCGTATTTCGTAAGCACTGGAATCGAGTTTTCCATACTCCAAACATACGCTCGATCATCCCTCTAGTACGGATATGAGCTCTGTTGTACCTTTGCTGCTCAGCTGTTGTGGGATTTAGATGTGGTGTGAATAAATAGTTACTCTGACCATATCCACTATCACCAAGTAGTAGTCCACTATGTTGTCCACTCTCAAATTGTGCACACAATGAAGAGTTGAGAAAAATCCTTGAATCATGGGTTGCACCTTTCCAACGGGCAACAATGTTTGAAAACTCCAAATTAGGAGTGCATACACCCTGAACATTGATTGAAAAACAGTTCTTACGATTCCTGTATTCCTCTGCATCAGGAGTTGATGGACACTTGATGGGAACATGACATCCGTCTATACAGCCAATCACTCCTGGAAAGTGCCCATATTCATAGAATTGCACTTTATAGTTGGCTTGCCCAGCAGCATCAGGGAACTTGATGTAAAGACTCCTCAGTTCACAAATGGCACTGCAGACTTTGTGAACTATTCTACATACAGTTGGTTCACTGACACCACACAAATCACCAGTTTCACGATGAAAGATTCCACATGCCAAGAACCTCAAAGTGATCAGAACTTGCAGTTGATTGGACACAGGCCTTCCTCTTTGAGACAGAGAGGAAAGTCTAGGCTCAAGCAAAGTAATTATCTCCAATGCATTTTCCTTGTGCATACGAAAGCGGTCTCGAAAAGTTATTTCATCAAACTGATTCAATGGATCACTCCTATCCAGCAGTATTCGTCTGGCTGGCCTTTGTCGTGCATGTTGGTCCTCATTTAGATATTCCAAATAGTCCATGCTCCCAAACAATCCAAGCTCAGTTTCACAAACAGTAGCCTAGCCTACTAAGCGGGAGTTAAACCTGCCTCCTTGGCAGATTAGTTTAAGCTTCAATTCAGTCCAATTTAGTCCTGGAGTAGCTCTAATGCTCAATTTTGCAATCGGCTTTGTTTAATCCAGAACAGGCTTAATCCACGAGTATTTTAAGCTACGTCTGTGCAAGTGAATTTCAGTTAAGCCAGCTCAAACAGCATTTTAGTCTGGGACTAGGCTTGAGCCTTGTCTCCGAAACCGGCCCAAAGTGTATCAACAACATGTCGATCTATCCAGAGAAAGATGAAGAAACATGCGTGGATGTTAACTTACCTGCTGCTTTTGCGCGGCAGAGGTAAATCCTTCTGGTGGAAAAGAGGAAGCGAGAGAAGGAAAGGAGAGAAGATCAATTAGCCTGATGAGTTTCATACATCGGGTTTAGAGGACTGTGGAAAAGATGATAATTAACTCTAAAATCGAATGAAACAAAAAACCTTTACGACTCAACTTTCGGTCTGATCTGCTTCATCTTGAATATGTTTTCCTTATCTCCTCATATATTTCACTCATCTTGTTTTGATTACCCATAAGGCACGCTGTTTTTAGCCTATAAACTGGAGGCTGTGGGCGTATCAGATTCATTCGAGGTCAAACCAGTCTGCTTCAAGTGTTACTGCCGAGTACCAATTCACCTCCTCATTAACCTGCTGTTGTGGAATCCGGAGTTAACTACCACTCATGCATCTTTAAGTTAAACCTCAGCGTCATCACTAGAGGCTCACCGGGTAAACACAAATGAAATAGCTCAAAAGCCTCGGACTCGTCTACAGCCGGTTGTGTGATTTTTCGGTAATTGTCTCGTGCGAGTGGAGCGCAGTTTGAAAGACGACCCCCCCCCCTGAGTGCTCGCAGACTTCGGGAACCAGCAGGTCGAGTGGAGCCGACGTCAATTTCAAACATGTTGCTGTTACATTTACGGCTCTGGGACACAACAGCAGGGACTCTGACGTGATTATGATCTACTGGGAGGAATCTGTGCGCCGCTCGTTGCCCATCTAGTCCCTACTCGTTTAGCACTCGGATGAGCCTGGATCAGGTTACCGTCAATTTATATTGTCGGCCTGCTTATCAAGCCACCTTCTGCAGCCCAGCGGCTCCACCAAGAAGATGTTATCATCCGTGTCTCTTGACTCGGGGAAGGCTTAAGGACAAAGAGCCGTGTCTGGGAAACGAACGGAACAAACCACATGGGGTCAAACGGGAAAAAATGAACACAAACTTGAGAGGAAAATAAGAGGCAGTAATTGGTTTTATTGTTGAATAATTACACCAGCATTACAAGACCCAAACAAAGCCGGGCTGAAGAAACATGAATCGACAGCTGGAGCTCTGGTTTCCAAAGAATCCAAGAACGAGCCTTCTGCCAATTCACTTTCCAGCAGGGAGAGGCAGCGATGCACATACGCCGAGAAGAAGAAAGGCCACAAAAACACACTGGAATGAGTCACAACCAGTTTTCCAAAGACGAGTTGAAGAGAACATTATCATAATTAACCCTATTGGGGATTGAGTGCAATGAGAGCAGCAGGAGTAATCACATTAAAAACCTCTGCACACATTCAAGGAACACTTCTACATTGTGGGGAATATATTTATCTTCTTTATTTTGGTCGGAGTTGGATGAGCCACTTAGCTTAGCTTAGCATAGAGTCATGAAAGTGGGATCGATCTTCACAGTTCAGAGGAGACGGATCCCTTTTCTTCAATGGGAGTGACATCACCCGTCATGGTGAGCTCCTTCTGGGATGGCAAATGTATTACATCATTGAGAGGAAGCGAGCTCGGCCAGGGTTACTCAGAGAGACTCACATATGTGTGTGTGTGTGTGTGTGTGTGCGTTGATAGGGCCGGCCAAAGGATAAAACCCCCGACACCTGCTCCCTCTCTGTGTCTCTGTCCAACAGATGGCTGCGTGTTGTTGCCATGTTACTGGTTACTCCGGCATTTCTTTGAACAGTATCTTCTATTCCGAGTGACCATGACAACCTTTAGAAACTTCTCAGTAATTCACACGCTTCACATGAATGTGAAAAAATGAACCCGGCGTTACAACAGCGAGCATGAAGAGACTCGGTGGAGCAGAGGAGAGCACTTCAATGATGTGTTCACGGCAACCCTTACAATCCAGATAAGAAGGAGAAATCTTTTTAAAGTGGAAGCAGTGGAAAAAAGAGAGACGAGAAAAATGTTCTAATATGATAAAGAAGCACTATGTGCAAAAAGAGGAACTAATTAAGCGGTTTTGGTGTTAATAGCACTTTTAAACCACCATGCTTCAAATGACTGCAAATATTCACAATACAATTCTGCCACAGCAGGTTATAATGAAGGGGATGTTCAAAAGGGAACACAGGGGATCATATTGTTTTTCCCCTTATGTTGTCGGGGGATTTGGGTCGTAGATACAACCGATGGCCAATCAGACAGCAAAGAGAGTCAAATGTGAGTACGCTGCTGCAGCCACGAGGCCTCTGCTCTGTTTCTGCTGCCCATGTCAAACTGTGTATTATTCCCTTTCATAGTCCACTTAAAAGCTTTGAACGGGCTGGTCAATGCACTAAGGTCTAAGACCACGTTGCATTGAACGACTCTGCACCAATTTCACTTTCTTGACACGGGGGATCTGGTCTTTGTGTCTGTTTTGTAGACCAAGTTGAGCACAAGCGTTTGTGCTTTATAGCCACCTGGCCCGATTACTTGAGCCCAGTTATAAAGTAGCTCAGATATTTGAAGCTGTTCCCAAATCTATTGTGGCCCAGATATGTTGCTTTCATGTGCACTTTGCTCTTTTGGCACAAAAGCCAGTCTTTCTGACTAATACTGACATCAGAAGGACGCGGCGAGGCGGAACCAAACGGCGGTGAGTGACGGGACTTGGCACGGAGAGCTGGATCTTCTGCACTGATCACACTCTTATCCCGGGTGCTTAGCATATTGGAAACGGGCACGCTGCCCAGAACAAAATATTGGACGAATTAGGCGCGTGTGTGTGTGTGTGTGTGTGTGTGTGTGTGGTGCACTCCGTACTCTACAACACAGAGGGGTGTGACATGTTGTATGACTTGTGTTGGTTTGAGCATATGGGTGTAAGAACGCACACACACACACACACACACACACGCGCTCGGGACGGCGGGATCGTCTTCACTCGAGACGGAGGTGACTCGTCTCGGTGACGCGGTCGCGGCCAAATGCAACGTGCTGGCCGCCGCCACCGGTCGTAGCCGTTGTAGTTTCTTTTTCCGTGATGTCATTTATTTCCTCCATCCAAATGGTATCAGGCGAGCTACAAGGATCCACGAGGATGAGGAGGGAGGCGAGGAGGAGGAGGGGGGGGGGGGGTGAAGAACATGGCGAGTAAACAGCGTGGAGCATCGCTGCAGTCATGGAGACAGCTGGAGCGAGACGGAGAGAAAACAAAGACCTCGTGGCTGAAGGGAGAAGGCGGGACGGAGTCAGGACACCAGACGCTGTCCCAAGAGGAACGACAGCATTTACCGTTTCAGCAAGTGATCAAAAACAAAATGCATTGATCAGTACAGTATTGGCTAGTTTAACGCACTTTATTACACTTGCTTCTAAGTCAATTATTACCCGATTTAAAATCCTTACTTCACAAATTTTACGAAAGGCAAAGTTTCTTCCCGGTCGAGTTGAGACAAGACAACTCACACACACACACACGCGCGCACACGCGCGCACACGCACACTATCTTGTCTCTGCGCTGTGAAAGTAGATCTGGGCACTAAAGGGGTGCAGATGTTGTAAAAGCACTTAGGGGTTTACTGTAGCCCACAGCTGCCGCCCGCCTCCAGTATCCGCTGCTGCCCCTTTTCCACCCGTCCTGCTGCTGCTGGTCAGTCCCCCCCCCCCCCCCTCCTCTCCCCCCCGGGGGCTCCCGGGCCTGTTAGGCCACCATTAGTTCTGCTAATGGGCCCGACAAGTGCGCCACATCCTCAGCATTTAGAACTACTCCGTCGGAGACGTGGATATCGAACCACTTCAATGGAAATGGAGAACGGGGGGGTTGGAGGAGGGGTGGGGGGGGTTGAAGCGTACGTATGGGCATGGATGTCATGTACACACACACACGATAACATGCACTCTGACTAAAATCTGAAGTTGGCCTCAGCGGCCATCGTCTTGCTGCTCTCATCTCACTGAGCGTTACGTTCACGCTCACGTCGTCACGTTTGCCGCCTGCTCTCAGTTTCATTGTTTAAGTTTCAGGCGGGACTAAAACGTCTCTCTGAGAAAATGATTAAAAGAAAAGCTCAACTTCATTTGTCATTTCATTTGCACGTGTAATCTCAATCCACAATACATTCATAGATGATATTTGTGACAAGCGCAGATTGCAAATATTCTCCAGTGCCAGACCCTCAAATGTAAAGACATGTCGCTTTTCTTAGTATATTCATTTGGAACAGTCGCCGGACAAATAAGAACTGGGCGTGTTCCTTTATTTCTGGACTAACAGGTAATATTATAGCGGCTTTCCAATCGATCTAAAGCATCACCAAACGTTACAGAGAGACTTGGTGACTTTCTCGCTAGATTCAGCGACTCCTGCGAGCTTCTTTTGGAAAAGAGATTCTTTTCAAAACCAACCCTACTCTTGTTAGTTTGTCAGGACAACAAACTCGGCCTTTCTGCCCAAACCACTTCCAGTAGAAATGCCAAAAATATCACTGGTTCCTAAAGGTTACCCAATTCTTTTTCACGGCCATCGATAATGCAAATGTTTAGTGTGAATACACTAACAGAGGTAAGGCTGGAGTCACAGACGGCAGATACAGTCTTGAATCCCTTAGAATCAAAGGCATGCGTGTGCCAGGGAATCAGCCTGGCCGTTTCTCTCTGCTGCCCAACACCAACATTTACCCCCAAACACCTCCAACGTCTACCTTCGTAATGATGAGCAATCATCTCGAGCGGAGCATCTCGGCCGCAGTGTCTTTCACTGCGAATGAACTCAGGGAGGAGGCAGAGCGGCGAGGAAGGGAAGCCTTCCTTGCAGGAAGCAAATAGTTTTAGAAATGTGTCCATGATAAATATGATCAAACAATAAGTGTTTCCATACGCAACACTCTGCTGGACCAACACACCTGACATGAGGTTTTTTTACAGCCTTATGCCTTTTCATACTCATTTTATGACTGGTCCTTCCTATTGGGTTCTGGATGTCTTTGGAATGATCCGTGGATTAAAATGTGATTAAATGAATACAATAATTAATCCACCATTCATCACATTGGCTTTCCTTCAAAGCGTATGCAACCCTATTAATAATTAAAATATTTGTATACAGCATCCGTGCAATTTATTTTGACTTATGTGATTACGATGAGAAAGTGGGAGGAGAAAAAAAAAGTGTAAAAAATAATAAATAAACTTTTCACCTGCAGCCTCCGTCTGCGGATGATCCCCGAGTCGTCCATGGCGCGCGCCCGGTGCACACCTGCGCAGAGGGCTCTCGCGGGCTCCTGTGATTTCCAGGTGGCGGAGCGCGTGAGCAAAAAGGGCCCCTCAGTCTCGCGTGGCTTCCAGCGGGAGTCTGTTTACTATCAAACCGAGACACTCGGCGCAGTGTTCGCGGCTTCGAGCGTCATTTCACCGACGAGGGGAGACGAAGACCTTCAGTTAAATGGCGGAGAGTTTGTGTTCAGTGCCGCACACGACGGCTGAACTGACACAGACTGACAGATGCTGTGTGTGTGGGGGGGGACTTGCAGAATAAGCACGTGGCTGCACGGCGGGATCCGCGTGCACGAAGTCAAGTCCAGGTGTGGGACGCAGAACACAAACAGCCCGGCGCGTCAATCAGCAGCTTCTCTCACAGTTTGCGCACGAAACGTGATGAAGAATGAATCCGCGCGGCTGCTGTGCTCCTCCAGAAAGGCTTCCATCACCACGCTGGGAGGTGGGGGGGGGAAGAGTCCGCGAGCCGCCACGTTCAGAGCCGGTCCCGCGCGTGCGGCTCAGAAGGTGTGCGCGTGGACGCGGAGTTCATCGCGTGCACGTCGACTGCAAATCTCGATCACACGCGTCGAGCTTCTGAGCTTCTCAACGGCCGCTAAACGAATAAAGACGCGCGATCGATGAGGGTGTAGCGGTGAAAAACACGCACATCGTTTTCCGCCCTCCGGTCGGCGGATTCCCCCCGTTTTCGTCCCCGGTGCGCGCACTCCGTTCTCCTGCGGCGGAACAGTGATTCTTCTCGAGGAATCGCGATCTGTGGTCCCCGCGCGGGGTCCGCTCCATCCTCCGCTTACACCACCCACTTCCTACCACCGAACACGTTTAACCCTTCAGCCTCCACCGCGGCTCTTCCTCCGGTGCACATCTCCACCCAAACAATTTGTGTTTATCTCCCCAAAGAATCCACACATCTTTACACACATTCCCTTTCAAACGAAAGTATATTTTAAAGGCATTATAATGACTAAATCGGAATTATAAGATAGCATCTCGTTATCTAAAAACGACGTAATAATTGAAATAATCTCATTATCTCAAAGTGGCGCAAACAGGCTTCCGTACTTAAGTTGCAGTTTGCATCCACCTCTGTCCAAATATGTGTGAAGAGTTTCATTAACGGTACTTTTTTTTTTTTAAATCACTATTAATGACACCAGTGAGAACGTCCATTATTTTTACAGAGGAGAGCACCTGCAGGTCACGCGGCCAGGTACGAGCTGGACAGTGGCAGTGGGGTGAGGGACAGAATCGAAGCCATCCTGGCCAGCAGAGTCTTCCCTCTCTGACCAAGAGCTCCAGACGTGTTCCTCATCCGAGACATGAAACTGATTCAAATCCACTTTCTTGAGCTCTGTGGTTCTTGTATTTACAGGTTTGATAGAACCCAAAGCAACAAAGCTATGGCACAAAATCTAAAAGCTGAATGCCGCTCACGCACATCTCCAACCCTTCGTTTGATCACAGTCACAGATTGAAGGTCAGTGTCACCAATCAGGTAACTAACCCAATGTGAAATATTGCCATAATAACCTCTTCTGCTGCCAAACTATAATGTCACAGTGACATTAACATTTTGGATACAAAATATCATCACTTCATTTATTAGACATCTCTGAGTGATTTTATCTCAAAGCTGTATTTGACATACGCAATAATCCGTTTCAGGTGTGTGTGTGTGTGTGCGTGTGCGTGTGCGTGTGTGTGTTAGCAGTCAGCTCAGTCTGCCGCCACCATTCCACGATGAAAAATGTCACCAGGCGTTATGCATTATTCAACATGCACACCTGTCACACGCGGGACTCACCGCTGCCTGACGGTTCACAGCTTCCTCGCGCTTCAGCTACTTGCATCCCGATCCAACGGTCAATGAACGAACGCTGGCCCGGAAACAAGTCATCGATTGCACCAGGGAGATTCCAGAGAGCTCCTGTGGACACATTAACTGAAAGTGCATGTTTTTCAACTGAACCGTCCTGTCCCCGCTGATGTATTATCAATATGTAATCAGTCACCACACAGTAACAAAAATCACAGGTCAAAGTCTGTTATTGGGTTCAAACAATGTTGAGTCTCTGTTGGGTTGAGGGTTCACGGTTAAACATTCTCTCAATGACAGAGAGCAAGAAAAATCACCTGAAAGGAATTCTCACTTTAGTATTTCACGCCAGTAAAAGGGAACTCAAAGGCTAGATTGAACACAAGGACTAAGATCTCCTTAAACTTTACTGTTAATGAATCTGCCATAAAACACTGGATCCTACATTTCCCATGATGCAACTCAGAACGGTCTGAAGGTCCCAGGCTCAGTGCTCCTCAAGACAAATGAACTGAAATAAAAACGTCACACTTTAAATCATTGTTATAAGATTGATTTATGTTTTGTTGAAGTTAATATTGAATTAGGGCTGCAGACACACATTTCATTCTGTAAATGAACACAAAGGTCTGCAAATTATTGGGATTCAGGTAACTTGTCATCAGCCGATGGTAGAATGTCCATATATCCATATAAAATGTAACCGTCGGTGCCTTTAACACTGAAGCATTGGAACAGAGTCTACGTTGCATCAGCAGGTGAAAAACAAGGTTTCTGTGGACCGACCCAGTTACCAGCTTGTCTGACTTCTGTTGCACATGTAGCCTGGGCTGCTTTTCTTATTAATGTTAAATAATGAATGAAGCCCCATTCATTTTACATCTTCTTTGTTCATTAGGAGCTGTGAGATCTGAGCGGTGCAGAAATGTTGCAAGGATCATATTTGACAGACAAAGACTTTTTCTCACTGCTGTGTGCAAAAAGAAGAAAAAGCTTTCAGAAATGATGTCACCCTTTTTTTTTTTCTTCTCGCCCCGAGGGAGGTCACATGGGGTCAGCTCTCTGCAGCCAAAAAGCTTGGCAGGGCTGGGAATCTGGGACGCCGCCTGACGCCTGTACGATCCCATTTCCTGTCCCGGTGAGCCGTCTCACAAGAGCCACGTCAGCTCACATCTCTTCATAGGATGAGAGCGCCGCCCTCCCCCTTCCTTCACATCTGCTCTGTGTGTGTGTGTGTGTGTGTGTGTGCAGAGGTTAGCAGATCAGCTTGTTAGAAGCATCAGATATGATCTGTCAGTCTAACCAGTGGACTTATTGATTAGCAATCATTTCATCCCCATCATAACAGAGTGCTGATGTCATGAGCAGCACATGGAGACAAATACACGGGTGGAGAGGAAACAACTGGCACGCGTTACAATATCAGTCGCTTCCAAACGTCCTTAAGGCTTCAGATGTGCCTCGTTTATTAGGACTCCGTCCCCAAAGCGCGCTTTAAAATCTCCCCCCCGGTAACGAGTCCATCTCACTCAGCCTCACGTAAACCGCACAGCTTCACAAAGTGATTAGATGAAGATTAATGCGAAGCGGCTTCCCGGTTGAATGGAAGCTGCGTCACATTGAGCGGAGGTGATTTGCCGTTCTTTAAAGCTCCTGGTTTGTTAACGTTGCTGTTGAAATTCCCACTGTTTTCCATCAAGTGGGTTTTAATACACCCACTTAATGTTGTGTACCTTCCATTTCAGTGATCTAACGTCACATTCAGTAGAAATTAGTAGCCCCGGTTCACTCTCCATGAACCCCTTGACTCGCCGAAGCAGGTGAAGCACGCTGGAATTAATATTAATGAGAACTAAGTGCCGCTGAGTGCATGCACGGTACCAAGAGCCGGAAATCACAACTGTCCTGGCTGTGCGATGTCAAAATGTCGTACGTATAGTACAAGAAACACTTCCACGCCTTCCTAATGAGGCATATGAGGAGACAACTTTCCTATGTTCAACCGTTGGATAATTTGCACTCAATTCCCTGCACTCCCCCCTTTTCATCATCCTTTTCTTTGCCCGGTGTCTTCCTCATTCATTCATTCACTCATTTACTCTCCTTGTCCAGCAGAATCTCCTGAAATCACGTCCTCCTGCCGCCTGCGTCCTGTGCAGAAGTGGGTCACAGACTACAGCTGTGCTAAAAGCCCAGTCTGAGAAAGAGGAGCTCCTCTAAATAAAACACAGTAGGATCTCGGGAGGGGGGAGGAAGGGGGGCTCTACCTACGTAACCCTTTCGAAGACGAAGAGGAGTAGGACATGCAGAGGAAGGGATAATGTATGTGCCGTTTGGTTGAGTGGCTTTCGGCCCTCGTGTGAGGATAGAAGGCCGTTTCCCGCTGGCATGTATTGCTGTATATATTATACATCAGAAAGCTCTTAATCAGAAAGGCTCGGATGTGAAGTGCGTTACATGAGTCATCGCGGGGTTTTCCAGCCCGAGCCGAGCAGAAGGCTTTGATCTTGGTGAAAGTTGAGAGCGTCACGTGTGCGGCTGCTGTCGCCTCTGGACGAACCAGCAGTTGGTCCTGATTATTATTCTGCAGTTTAACGGACAGTCACATCTGTAATTCATGTCTGATCTGTGACGAAGCAAATACCAACCCCCATCTTCTCTTCAAATTCCTTTTTTCAGAGTTTTAATGTAGCTCCCGTGTGATTATTAAATGCTAACCAGGCTAGCTATCGTGCTAGCCATTTGTTGCTACATGGTGGCTATTGGTGCATTTAAGGTAACGGTTGAGCTGCGAGGACACAACCTTTGATCAAGAGGTGGACAGAATACAGAATGTGGATTCCTGTTTCCTGTAATGTTGTCATGGGCTTCCTGTGTGTGTAGCTGAATGTGTGTGTGGCTGAATGTGTGTGTGGCTGAATGTGTGTGTGGCTGAATGTGTGTGTGGCTGAACGTGTGTGTGGCTGAATGTGTGTGTAGCTGAATGTGTGTGTGGCTGAATGTGTGTGTAGCTGAATGTGTGTGTGGCTGAACGTGTGTGTAGCTGAATGTGTGTGTAGCTGAACGTGTGTGTGGCTGAACGTGTGTGTGGCTGAATGTGTGTGTAGCTGAATGTGTGTGTGGCTGAACGTGTGTGTGGCTGAACGTGTGTGTGGCTGAATGTGTGTGTAGCTGAATGTGTGTGTGGCTGAATGTGTGTGTAGCTGAATGTGTGTGTGGCTGAACGTGTGTGTGGCTGAATGTGTGTGTAGCTGAATGTGTGTGTGGCTGAATGTGTGTGTAGCTGAATGTGTGTGTAGCGGACTGAAAGTTAACGTCTTCTCCATCAATTTATCTGTTCGCGTTGGATTCGTGTTAATGTGTATTTAAAGATAATAAATACAATTCTGTCATTTAAATTTGTGGGGGAAAAATTGTCTTCAACCACAGATTTTGCGACCCCCCTGCAGTACCTCGGTCGGACCCCCTATCGAAGACCTTTAAATCTCTGATTCCTTTGATCAGGCTCCATCCTGAGGGCAAAAATGTCACATTTTCTTTCCAAAGAGGGTTAGTTGCAGCCTCGTTCACAAAGCTGCAGACTCCTGTTACAATTCCTTCTCCTTTTCATATTTTCTCGGATAAATGATCACAATCAGTGCATTAATTGGCTCATTGAGCCTTCAGTAAAATACCAACAATGTTTGAACCTGAACTGGATGTGTCTTCAGAGTTTAGTTTAAGTCACATCATCTACTGGTGTATGTAGAACCTTTAGTGCATTTTGCTGGCATTGCTCTGGTCCTTGGCCACACACAAACTTTGAATATTGGAACATATATACAGAATTGTTGTATACTAATATAAAGAAAATGAATAAATACAAGCTGAAAAGATGTGATACGGTGGAACCATCACAGTTTTCATTTCGAGGCAATAGGGACACCATGTGGAGAGGATCTGCTATTTCAATGAACGTGAGCCACCATATGTCTACTGAGCCGGGAGCTCGATGAAGATAATTGAATCTGTAGGAAATCCCCAGGCTCAGGTGAGGAGACACGAGGAGTCTTCTACCCCGATCAGGTGCTGCAGCCACGTGCATCAGGCAGCAGGTGTGAGCGGCACATGTTCACGGGCTGGGGAGGAGAGGACACAGAGGAGACCGAGGACGACCTCCTAGACCACTGGCCCCATCCTCACAAACACAAACCTGTTATTTTAAGAGGACACTTTCTTTTGATAATAATGATAATCACTATCAACCGACCGTCAGTCGGAAGGCCCCTGTAATTTTTTTTGCATGTACACAAGTTAAAGAATAGAAAAGTCTTGGTTGTATCAGAGCACCTAACCTCATTTATTCTCTTTTTCTCGTCCTTCTGAATTCCCGCCACACATTCATTCATGATAGCTTTCCTTGGCGTGAGAGGAAAAGAGCCGGGACGATCCAATAAACCCAATTAAAGAGACGCCACGAAGATAAACTTGGACTACATGCAACGGCCTCAGGGATTAGAGAGCCGCCGGCGAGGAGCTGTCTGTGGTGCTGAAGACGATCCCAAACCACAGCTTTCCCTCCGGTGGACAGATGGAAACGTCACTCGTTTCTCGTGTTATTGAAGTTTACGCGCAGCTTTTTCCAACACGGACGAACCAAATGATTTGTTGGTTTCAAGTAAACGTTTGCTGTTGAAAATAACAATCCTGAAGGAAAAAGACCTGATTGAAATACAGTTTATATATAAACTATATATATATATATGTTTAAGCATTTGATAGTTTGAGCCAAGATAGCTTCATATAATATTCAAATAATAATCCCTTAATTGTTTGGGATATATAACATAAAAAAAATAATATAAATAAACTCATCACTCATCTTCAGGGTGAAAGCATCATCTGATGTGCTCCACGGTTGGTGGACGAACCGCTGAGGACCTTCTGATGAATTTAGTACAATCTGGACACACTAAATGTTGGAGTATTTTCCCAACGAGTAAGGCGTTATTTCCAAAGTGTAAGACTTGACACGAACGTATAGCTCCACTGATTAAATCCATACTCTATAAACGACTAATATGTCCATTGAAATGATCTGCACTCATCTGTTCATTTCAATGAGGTTTCTGAATGTTCTCAGCGTTATTTAGTGCTTTATGGTCTCCAGGCAACATCCTGCTGTACTTTTCCTCAACTCACTAATGTAAAGCTGAATTTAAATAAGTGCTTCATTTGAAAATTATAAACACATTACTGCGTGTGGATCAAATCTGTTTCCATTGGCCCAAAGATGAAGATAAGTAAATAAGTAATGGACACAATACATTTGTTTTGTTGGTGCAAAAGGTCCCCATCTCTCTATATAAATAATGTTTAAGTTTAAAGGCATCTTGTATTTCATAGTTAATTATTTCACACACCCCTTTGGGAATAACAGATTGAGATACATCATATACACTTTGCAAATTTAAATAATTTAATAATGATAAACTTAGTCCCTGACTTGATTCCATTGGAGACTTAATAAGAAAATTGAATTCTGACTCTTTTTCACTCTTAAATTGTACTGTTTGCTAATCAGATGTTCTCAGGATCTCAGGATTGATCCTCTCGACAGCTCTGCACTCTTAATCTCATCTAGAGAGGGAACAGGACATTGGTGCCGACTACAGTGACTCACCCGGCAGCTCTCCTGGTGTCACTTACAGCCCACAATCAACGGAAAACTACAAGCAGCTTCTAATCTGCACCAATTCCTGAGCACATGGTTGTTACCGTCTGCCAAGACCGAGCTTTCTCTTCACACACCTTTTCAGTGCCGTAAAAAGTTTTTTGCCCCCTTCCTAGTTTCTTAATTTTTTGCCTAATTAAATGTTTCCAATCATCAAACTATTTTTGATATTAGACAAAGATAACCCGAGTAAATATAAAATGCAGTTTCTAAATCGTAACTTCATTTATCCAAACCTGCTCGGCCCTATGTGGAAAATGAATTGCCCCCTAACCCTAATAAGTGGTTGTGTCCCCCCACTTGGCGGCAACAACTGCAACCGAGCGTGATGACCGGCCAGGAGCCTTTCACATAGCTGTGGAGGACTTTCGGCCCGATCTTCTCTGCAGAATGTTTTTTTAATCAGTCATCCCATCATAGGACAGGTGGAGCATGAACGGCTTGTTTAAGGTCATGCCACAGCATCTCAAAATGATTTAAGGCCGGACTTTGACCGGGTCGCTCCAAAAACATCACCCAGCTTCTCCTGAGCCCTTCAGAGGTGGACCTGCTGGGGGTCTGGGATCATTGTCCTGCTGCAGAACCAGAGGGCTCTTCAAGGTGAGGTCCACTAGCGGCAAGTGGTTCAGGTCAAAACTAACGCCCCCAAGTCTGTTTGTTGGTATGGTCTTTAGATCGCAGCACGATGTTTCTTTTTGAGATCGTTCAGCCTCGTTCACTTTGTGAGACAAACTATTTTAACGCACCTTTCCAAAACATTTGGTTAGTAAGTGCATTCAATAATTATTAAGGGTGTGGGTAATAACTGCTTCACATGTGAATATATAATAAATGAAATTGTTTAAAAACATGGTTCTCTTTGAGGAAGTCAAACTAATTGTGATATTAGACAAAGTTTTAAGTGTGACAAAAATGCAACAAAAATAAAGAAAGCAGGAAGGGAGCAAATACTTTTGCACAGCATGATATATATATATATATATATATATATATAAATGGATGTAAATATACAGGTGTTTTTGATGGTTGGCTGCAAGCTTCTGTCCAGAGACGACTCCCTTAATCAACCACAAGAGAACAAGGCTGATCTCACTGCCAGACTTGGATTGTCCACTTGATCCTGAGCCAACTACCTTTAATCCCGTTGACGTAGCGTTAGAGCGGCCCGCTAAGAAGGATTAGAGGAGGGCCTCCGGGAGGCTATAAACGCGAGGAGTCGCAAACTACGCCAGAGAACAAGCCCTTTCGCGTGCTGGTCAGGAAGCAAAGATCCAGAAGCAGACGCGGCATCTGACCTCGGGACAACCGGCCGCCTCCAGCCGCCGTAACCATGGAGCCCGCGGCCCAGACGGCGATGGCCACCGCAGCCTTCGGCAGAGAGAATTTCCACAGGAGAGTCCTGAGGACAAAGAACTTCAGGGGAGCGTCGTCTCGCTTCGTGGGCAGCTCCATCGTGATCCTGTCCTCGTTCGCCGTCTCCACTCTAGCGATGAACTGCGGGAAGAGGTTCCAGGAGTCCCGACACAAACTCAACGAGAACTAGCGAGGGCGGACATGCCTTTTTGTTCTCTACACGGGAGACGTCATGCGTGGAGCGTCCCGTGTGATCGGCAGTCCCACGCAGAGCTGAGAGGACGCGAGTCGGAGCGAGGACGACAACAGGAGACGTTCCTGAGGAGACGGTGCTCACCGGACTATACTGCGTTTACACAGGGAACCGCGTGCAGTGATACCGTCATACTCGTAGTGTTAAACACTACGCAACAGCTAAGAAGCTGTAAATAATAGAAAATAAGATAATTTAAGGATGTCTGGTGCCGGCGGTTCAGAGACATGAGATATTGAAGTTCTGTCTATCGTGTTGACAGAATATAATGAAAAAAAACTCTACTCGTTGGTTAACACTAAAGCTAGACTTCCCTGCACGACTTATCTTAGTGAGGGAAGGGCTCTGTTAGAAAAACATAACTCATTGTTTTGGTGCTTGCCGGTAAATGTTGACTGATGTGTTTTCAGTTATAATCACTACGATCTCTTTAGTCACTTCTTCTGTTAAATGACAAAAACCAAAAATGTAAGTAATGCATGTTTGTACTCCTTGTCTTTGATGCTACACACACAATATGAGCTGCGGTCCATGTGCAGCCATGTCAGTGTCGATAGAACCAGCTGTCCTGGGTGGTTTTCATTCTACACTTTGTCATAATTCTAATAATACTTTTGCATCCGTTAATGTAAGACAACACATAACGTCGTGTTTAGATCCATGACGTAATCAAAGTGTTTAAGAGCCTTTTCAAACCCTGTTGTGTTTTACTGTGACGCCACTAGAGGGCAGTATTAGCATTGAAGAGTGCAACTGCTTCCACAACAATGCCTTTTTGCTTCACGTGTTGTTTAGAACTTTAAGACCAGCGCTCTTACCAAAAAGAGAGTTTTATAAAGTTTGAAGAAAAAAATAAAATGGTACAAACAGAACCAATAAACATCTGCAAAGGTGACACCAACACAGAATGTCTGGAGAGTTTCATGTCTCAAAGCTCCCGATTGTGATGTCCACTGTCGTTTAGTCTTCAGAGCGCGGCGAGGCTCTTCAGCCTGCGCTCGCTGAAGAAGCGGTGCGTCTGCTGGGCCGGTTTTTGCTCGTTACCTCCAGCACTGAAGTAAGCCAACATGGACTTGTTGTTCTGTCGCTGGGCCGACTTCTCCCCGTCCTCGTCATCGTCCTCCCTGAGGACACATTGGATAAAACAAAAACGATTTTTACACTGCGGTTAGCTCTTGTCTTGCTTAATGTGTGTCAAAAGGATTTGCACACACATTAAGCATGACCAGGACATCTAACGGGATGTGGTTTTCTCATTCATATACAAAAGCAATTTTCAAAAGAAATCATCAAGTTGATTTTGGCTTCTATGGACTTGGTTAAAAGCTGGAAACAATTTTTATGCTTTATGAACATGATTTTTATCCACCAAATTCTTGGTCTGAATGACAGAGACAGTTATTTTCTCAGCTGAGAGTCACAGATAACAAATACGTCTTAATGGGGAGTTTCAATGTTCTTTAATAAAACTAGGGACGCTGGTCAAAATCAAGTTACCAGTGGACTGTCACCCCCTTGCTGTCCATCAGGGTTCGGGCAGTGCTCCAGCTAAATCGAACAAACTGAGGGTAACCGAACACTGGGTCCAGGTACTTCAGCAACCACGCTTTAGTCTTGGGATCTGAAAACACAAAGTAGGGGGAGGATCTGTTCATCTACAGGCATCAATAATCTCCTCTAGGTTACTCAGTGAAATAAAGACAGAATAAATCTGTTGAATTTATCCAAAATTCAGATTTTAGCCAGTGTTTTTGTTACCATTAGGGTATCCGGAGCCGTAGTCTGTGTCCACCTCTCCCAGGTCCTCAGTGAAGGCCCAGCCCTTGACAATGCGATCCCTGGCCACCTGAAAAACAGAAAGCTATTGAATGATTCTGAGCAAAGCCATTTGCTAAAGACTTGTAAACAAAGACTTCTGAGCTGAGAAGGAGAAGAAGTGAAATACAGATGGCGGTTGGTCACCAACCTTCGCACATATACTGGCGGCACTGACGACGGGAAAGAGGGAGTCGGCCTTTGGCCTCACGGTCACATCGATACCTGGGAAGAGCTTTGAGAGCTTCTCCTCGTACTTCTCCGCTGGGCCGACTGTGTCCACAAATACCTGCAGAAAAACACGGAGGTGATCGAGGACAGGCGAGTAAGACGGGAGACGAATGAATGGAAATAAAAACATGTTGCGCGGTCAAATGTACACTTAAGAGCACAGTTCCCTGGGTCAGCACAACAAACGGCTTCACCGTGTCCATCTTTGTATGCAAAAACATTTCCATACCTCTTTGAGCTGTACTCCACTGTCCAAGGCATACTGGACCAGACCAATAGCCGTGTCATGTGAAAGGGCGTTCAGGTTGTATTTCGTCCTAACACAAGCAGACGTCTCGTCAGGGCGTTAAACTCAGCTCATGAAATTGTACAGTATTGCACTGCATGTGTCACACACCTCTGCAACATGCTGGTGGAGATGGTGTTTGGTGAGAGAATCTGAAGAGCCCAGCCGACATAACTTCTGGCTTCATCCAGTTTTTGGAAGAGATTCTCTCTTTCTGCCTCTGTTAGAGTCTTTGAATCTGAGTGTCAAAAGGCACATTTATTACAGCAGTGAGGTTCTAAAGCACGACGCAAAGGACAACCGAGTCCTTTCCATTCGTAGAGATAGAGATAGATTACCTGCCACTTTTGATTCTTTCAGCTCCTGCTTTTTGGACACCGGACAGAAACATATTCCATACACCATGGGGCCTGCATTGGAAAACATGAACACACTGTTAAGCGTGGAATCCCACGTTGCACAATGCAGGGAAGGCTTAACAAATGAGCAATGCATTCAACCCGGGGCAGACAGAATGCCAAATCACTAATCATAGCCACGGTGACTGTGACAAAGGGTGTTAGGGATGCGCTCTTAGTGAAACAATGGAGGGACAGAGGAGTTGGACTAGCATACCCAGCACGGGCCCCCTTCCTGCCTCGTCAATGCCCAGACAGCAGTCCTCAGTCCGGCACACATCCGGGATCTCGGAGGTCAGTCTGCAGCTGAGCGAGTTGTCCGTCTCAAAGGGGCTGAGGTCCATACCAGCAGGCTGAGGGAGAGACGTGCACACCTGTCACGACGGCCCACGTTACACGAATAAGTGAGCGCACATTAGCTAAAGTGTCAGCTAACGTTAGCAGCGGTACGGTGTTAATTAACTTCACGTCATGTTGCAAACTCAAAAGTTAGCTGACTGCTAACTGACTTTACTGGAACTGACCTTAATTACCAGAATACGCAAGTGCTTTCTGTCTAAACTAATAGTTGACGCTATCGCAAGAAACTCTTAATGTGGCACAAAAACCCCACAGCTGTGCACAAAGCGAATTTATACATAGACGGTGACAAAACTCTCTGTCGTGTTGTGTTTTGTCTCTCGCGGATTTGGCGCCTCTGGAATGACGTCACGGGCTTCTTCTTCTTCTGCTCCTATTTTTCTGTCTTCATCTTCTTCTTCTTCTTCTTCTTCTTCTTCTTCTTCTTCTTCTTCTTCTCTTTGTCTTCTTTCTTTGCGTTTGCGAGGTATTGGTGTTTCACTTTTCACAAGTATGTCGTTGGAAAGATATATATATATTGTATACACATGTTCTGCCAAAGTTAAGATGTTTTCTTTTTAACTTGTTCTTTCCTCTGTACTAAAGCGCGGCTCAGATGTGGTCTTTACCGCCACCAGCTGGTACGTGTAATCAGTACAATATACTGAACGTCAAACTATTAATAAAAGGGAATTGCCCGTTTCCTTTACACAATTGATTAGATTGCATTTAATAATAATGAATAAGAAGCATGCTGATGTTCCAGCTCCTTCCAGCAAGCTTATTTTAACAGTCGGTTAGATAATGAAATCTTAATCTAGCAAGTAACCAGCATCTACAGCTGTGGTGAAAAGTGAAAAGTTCTTATTAAAAAGACCGCCATTATTATTTTACCTATTATAGATTACACAGGTTTACCCCTTATAATTGATCTATCTATCTGTGTGTCTCTCTGTCTGTTTGTTTATCTATCTATTTTATGACATAATATTTTGCTCTGGTGAAATTTGTTTAGAAAACTTCCACTGATGCACTCCACCCAGATTTAAAACCTTTAAATGTGTAAACAGAACAAACCGCCTCGCCGTCCGCCATCATCTTTGTTTTACATCTTCCTCGCCCACGATCCCGCCCACTACAGTGACGCTAACATTCATGTTTTTGGATGCCTGCTGAATGGGGTCGAACAGTAGCGGAGTGTGGAGGCAGGAAGGCAGCCTCAGGTGGAGAGGAGAGGGCCCAGTGAAAGGGAAGCCATGTACAAAAGTCCAAGTGTGCGCTGGTTTTCTGAGCTGAAGTTGGCCTTGCCTCTGGCTCTTTACACCCACCCCTTCTCTCTCGCTCTCTCCTGCTGTCCCTCTCCCTGGGTGAATGGCTCTCTTTGTGTTTCTCAGTAACACGCAGTCCCCAGCCGATTAAATGTGGGGAATTAGTAGTCAATTTTAGCCTCCCGCACACACAAACACACTTTGGTAGGGTTGTGATTGCGTTGTTATTACAGTTCACACGTCAGCTGTGTGCTGTTAATTATTTTTTCTTTTCCCCGCTTGCTCACTGCTCCATGTGTTACCTCCAAACCACTGAAATAACACGCTTACACGGGATTATTTTTTTTATAAATAAATTGATTTAATAGATGACAGCAATAAAATCTCGACATTGCTTTTCTCGTATGGAAGCAAAAATACTCACGTGAATGTATAGCAAACACTTTACAAAACTACCCAGAATTATAGAAAATGGAAGAAGCAAAGGGGTGAAACACAACACATTATTACTGACATGAAAAAGAATGACTACATGGTGAGACAGTCAGTATAGTGATGAAAACCATGCGTCACGTACAGAGGGGAAGCCTGTGGTAATGACCAGTGTTCACATTGCTGAAGAGGAACAAGGCTGTTTGGGCTCAAAATGGGGAAAAGAAAAAAAGTGTCAAGACGAAAACATGCTTTTGGCCTACATGCAGTGCAGAGCGCTCGTACATGTGATTCTAATCCTTAAGTAGGACCCAAAGCCGCCCAATTATCTGAAAAGATTTGGTCGAGACTTTGCACTTATAGATTTGAACTCAATTATTGGACAAATCTGATGTAAATCAGCAAAAATGTTGCACTTGAAAAGCAAAAAGAAGCACTGCTCTGAGACCTTGAGCACCCTCAGCATTATTAGCACAGGTATCCAGTGTCGCAGATCTCCTTTGCTATTGGCACAAAATGAACAGAGTTGAGGTAAGTGTCCAAGACTGAGCGTTAAGCAGAAACACATCTCTTTCCCTCTCTTTTTCCTATTTCCCCTTTAATGCTTAATTGTTCAGTTCAGTGAAGTCAATGCAATAAAAAGGATAGAAACACAGAGTGCGCTATGTACATAGAAAAAGGTTGCATCTATCCTTTTCTGGCCACAAGAAGAAAACAAAACTCCAGGGAAACTTGTTGAAAACAAAAACATGCTTTTCCCAAAGCAGTGGTGAAGATGTATTAGTGTAATTATCAAATCAGTCACAATAACGTTACACCCTAAAATATCAACAACGACAATAAACTTACTACTCATATAAAATAACACAAAAACATCAACATAGAAAAAAACATCTGCTTTAGTTTGGTTAATAAATTCTGATTATGTCCATCTAAACCCGTCGTTTCTGGGTCAAATCAGAGTCACTCATCAATGCAACATCCGCCCAGTGTCGCACTCGTCTTGTATACAAAATGACTGTACATTCCAACTTATAAAATTTACGTTGGCACACGTTTGTTATGGCCTATTTTCATTTGTGATTGGCAGTCGACCCATGACTCACACTTTATATCGTATGAGTCGGTGGCTCTTTATTTTCTTCTTTGAAATTTCTAATTGGCCCCGTGGATGCTTCTTGCATTATATTAGCGGAGGGGGGGGGGGGGGGGGGGGAGACAAAAAATAAAAACCTCTAATGTAACATCAATATGGCACGGGCGCGCACACACGATCACACGCTCACATATTTGCACACAGACGCACGGATCCACTCGCACACTTCCCATATTTCCCTCTGCTCGGCCGGTCTCCCTCAAGGTCTCGTGAGGGTGGTGTAAACAGGCTGCTCCCAGTGCGTGGGGCTATGAGAGGGGGCCACGCTGGAGGGGTCTCCTATGGTAGTGTACAGAGGCCTCTGTGTAGGGCCCATGTAGGAGAAGGCTGAGTACAGCCCCGGGGCCTGGCCGGAGTGGGTGTAGTACGCCCCGGGGGCCTGGTGCTCTCCGTACTCAAACTGAGCCCTGGAGGCCAGCGAGGGGAATGCGGAGCCGTAGTGAGGGAGGCTGAGCGGGGTGTAGGTGACGTGGGCGCCTGAGGAGGGCGAGGACGAGGCCTCGGCGTAGTGGCCCCCGGCAGCAGACTCGCTCTTGATCTGCGCCTTGGAGGGGTCGGAGGAAGCCGGGGAGGCCTGAGGCGGCTGCTGCTTGGAGAGCCATGCCGAGTGGCCACTAGCGGCGGCTAGGGCGTAGGCGTAGGAGGAGGCCGAGGAGCCGGCCGTGGGGCCCCCGCCTACGCTCTGCGGGTGGCCGTTCGGAGGAAGGTACTGGTCGAACTCGTTCACGTCGAACGGCTCGATGTTGGACATCACCTCGTGGCTGATCTCGCCGATGTCCATTGTGCCGAAGTCGATGTGGGGTTTGGCGCCCGACGAGGACGGGCCACCAGAGGCCCCCTCAACTCCCACCCCGAGGCCTCCCCTGGGCCCAGCTGACCCTCCGACTGCTCCTGCTGCCCCCTCCCTCTTTGCATCTGACAGCTTCCCCGACTGGAGTTCTGTCTTTGGGGTGGTGGGGGGCGTGGGTGGGCTGTGACCCTGACCTATGGAGAGGAGAGGAGAAGGGACCCACTTGGTCAGGTACAACAAAGTTTTGTCTCCTTGATTTACTTACTCATTTTGATCAACATCTTTTTCAATTTTCCAAATGTGCGCATGCAAATGAGGATGATTGTGTCTCCGTACCTGCAGGATGGTGGTGGTGATGGTGGTGGTGGTGCAGGTCTCCCAGGGGAGACCCAGCCCCGCCATTGTGCTCCAGGTGTAGGGTCTTGTAGTGGGACTGGGAGTGGCTGGCCTCCCCTTCCCCCTGGCTGTCGGACTCACTAGCAGTCGCCAGTTTGCCGTTTTTACGTCTCCGGGGCTGGTACTTGTACTCCGGGTAGTCCTTCTTGTGCTGCTTCCTCAGCCTCTCCGCCTCCTCGATGAATGGTCTCTTGTCACCCTCGTTCAGCAGCCTGGGGGGAGGAAGAGAGAGAGAGGGGGGGGGGGTGATTTTTACAAACAGCAATTTTAGTCTCACAGGCCAATCTGAATTAATAGGAGAGCGTGCACAGAAATGACGGTAGTAGTGTCGCCCTCACGTGCACAGGATAATGTGGGTACAACTCCCCATCTGGCTACACATTAAATTCATTATATCAAGGGCACACAACAACAACAACAAAAATACCTATTTCTGTGTCTATGTCTCCTTTGTTTACAACCACCAGCTGGAGTTCAGAATTTGACTCCAGCATCTATTCCCCCACTCATCCTCGACCCTGTCCCCCTGCGGCGCAACCAGCCGCTCACACGCACCTCCACAGTTTGCCCAGGGTCTTGCTGAGCTCCGCGTTGTGCAGGTGGGGGTACTGGTCGGCCAGTTTCCTCCTCGCCGCCTGCGCCCACACCATGAAGGCGTTCATGGGCCTCTTGACGTGGGGCTTGGCTTTGTTTCCGTTGTTGACGCGCACCGGCATCGGCACGAGTGTCCAGTCGTATCCGTCCAGCACCTGGCTGACCGCCTCCCGGATGCCGATCGGGAAGCGGTCGTCTTCCATCTCCGACTTGACCGCGTCGCCTGCGTCCTCCTCGCCGCCGTCCGCGACGCAGAGCGAGGTCAGCTGCTGCGGCGGCCCGCTGAGAGGTGAGCCCTGGCGGGTCGGCGCTCCCGGGCGAGTCGGTGACAGGGAGTGACCGTCGTCCGACCCCCCGGGGCTCAGTTCCGCCTCGGACAGGCTGTGCTCCTCGCCGGACATTTTTTATTGATTTATTTATTAATATTAATATTAAACGTTATGTAAAACGACGTTCCAAACTATTCTGCGCGGTTGATTCGTCTTAATTGTAGAGGATGTTCCGGGGTCTTGGACAGGGCCACTTATTGCTGACTCTTCTCGGGTAAAGCCATTCTGCTGCGTGAAAGTGTCCGATTCTTCCGTCCGGGCAAAAGCGGTCACACCTAACAAACAAACAAACAAACAAACAAACACGTCAAGTATAACAGAAACAAATCAGTTGTAATGAAGTCGACAAATGGGGAAAAATATAATAATACAGGTTACAAATCAATCCAGCGCCGGTTTAGCTCACCTTAGCGAAACAGGTTATATAGCAAACATCTAGTGAATATTAGTAGCCGGATAATAATAATAATGTCATTTTGACGAACCGCATCCAGAAAAATGTATTTTTTACGAAGTTTAATTAACGTCACACCTCCTCCAAAAAGAAATAATACAACTGGCACGCAGCCTATACTGATATAAAATATCCTCTATATCATATAAATATAATGTTTTAAAAAAAAATTACATAACTTACCAATTTAGATGTCCAGTGGTTCGACATAGGAGTGTGTGTGGCTGACTGTAGAGCCGATGAATGGCTGCTCTGTGTGGCAACACCGGGGCTTAAAGAGCGCCTTGTGAGGAGGACTGGGAGAGAAAAAAAAAAGTGATTGAAAGTGGAAAACATTCCCAAAGAGGCAGCATTCCAGGACGCAGGCGGCCCCGCCCCCTCCGGGCCGCCGCGCCGCGCTCCGATTGGCCCTTTAATTAACCCGCCGCTCTCCGATTGGCCGGGAGGAAAGCCCCGTTAATGCCCTTCTGTCCGTCATTGCCGCATTTCCAACAGGGAAGAGGTGAGATTTTTACATCGGAGTGGTTTAAATGGCTCCACAGTGCGCCCATTTAGACGCAGGAGAAGGCCAGCTTTGTTGGACGTGTTGACACGTCGTATCAAACAAGTAAACAATCATGAGTAGAGTTATTGCCTCCTGTGGTCACGTTCCTCAAAAAAGAAGGGGAAAAAAAACTTTAAACTTCAATTCAGCTCTGAGTTTACCCATTTTAGTTTTCGATCTTCATAAAACTAAATAAATAATGAAGAGCCAATCAGCTAAGCATAAATGTATGGATGTAGTAAATAAATTGTTAGATATTTAGGAATGGTCTTTGGGGGGTTAGTTTTCAATGGTCTCATAAAAGAGTACTAATAATTATTACAGCATCAATATTCTTTATCCGCTAAAGTAATATGAAATATTCTATTATAAATATTAGAATCTTACAGTAAAGTAGTAACCAAACGTGTACACGTCTGGCATGCAAACAAGATTAATTAGCATGAGGATTAGCGTGAATTAATGTCATTACATACGTATTATTGTTACAATCAATATGATTGGGACATTAAGTTACTTCCTGGCAAAACAAAACAAAACTCACAAACATGTGAAATGTTTCAATAATGTTTTTGAAAATAAATGGAGATCTTTTACATCCTCGGATAAATGTGAACTACCAATCTTTACTGTAAAATATCATCGAACATGTATAAATGATAAAGTTCTGTTAAACTTTGCATCGCTTTTCCTGATTACGTCCAAATCAGTCATCCAAACTAAAGAGGACGACGCCAACATGTTAACAAGGAACCAGTGACAAACTGGCTTTCTTAAAATAGTGTTTTTAATAGTTAAAAACGAACACACGGCAAACACAATCTCTATTTGACGTCCAATCACGCCCACTGGGATGATGTCACACACATAAAAATAAGAGTGGCACGTGTCGGGACAGATTTTAGGTGAGAAGGAAATGGTGTGATGGTTCCAATAAGTCAAATGGCAAAACAATGGCATGCTTAAACATGCCACTTTTTGTTTGTCCTCTGTGTAAATCACCAGTTTAACTTTTAAATGAAAGATAATTAATTAATTAATATAAACAAATAAAGTGTAATTAAGCTGAAACGCGTGTATACAAAATTTCTAAAAATAAAAATAACTAAGATCCATATTTTTTCAATAGAAATGAAATGACGTCATTGTCTTCCTGTTTTCGTACGTAAACCAGGACGGTGGTGGAGAAAAACGTTGTTTGCATGCGGGCCATGATTTGCACCGTTAAATCGTGGCCTGATGGGAAGGAGAGGAATCGACTTAAGCAACATCTGATGCGCACCCGGACGCGCACGCACACGCACACGCACGGGCACGCTCACACCAAATGAATGCAACAATAACCCCCAGTGTGCCCGTTGCCTCTCATATAGAGCTTGACCTCTCGGTTTTCTCTCTCTCTCTCTCTCCGCGCTCTCTTTGCTCCCTTTGTCTGCATCTCAGGTGAATAGCAGCCATGTGATCAAACGCCCAAGCCTCTATCCATTACCCCTCGTAAATGCAGAAGAAGAAAAAATGGGGGGAACAAAAAGCAGTGTTGTGCTGCGAAACATGGAAAAAATTGATAACAGAGAGCGATGTGTGCGTCTTTCTCCCCTTATGTCCGAGCATAGACACCAGTCGCGCACACAGAAAAAGCAGACGGGCCGCGCGGATCTCCCTGCCGCTTTTTGCTTTGTTTGCGCCTCTCGTTGCGCGTTTGCTGCACCTGGATCTCCGCCTCGGAGGTTGCTGATGGTAGGGGGCTTGTGCTTTTGGGATGATGGTGGTGTTGGTCCAGGAGGAGAGAGGGAAGTGCGGGTGCGATGTGAAGGGATAGGGGAAAATGGGGTGGGGTGGGTGGGGTGTGGGGAGGGAGGGGGGGTGCTTGTTTGGGGGGGACACCTCCGTGGTTGCACCCCGCCGGCCCGACCGGCACCACTGGGATCCTGCACATGAGGCCTTCCGAGGCTCGTGAAGAGTGTCCGTACTGGTCCATAGGAGGAGGCTTTCCTTGTTTGGGGGGGGGGGGGGGGGGGGGGGGGGGGGGGGGTGTTGTGTGTGTTTTTTAATTGCAGAGAAGTGTTTAAGAGCGGGCGTATCGATCTGCGGCCCCTTCGCTGCTCCGACGCATCGGAGGGCCGAAGGAAGCTGCGGTTTAACGGAGTGTTTAGTTAGTGCAGCGCCCCCCCCCAGACCCTCCGGGGAGTCTTTACTGAAAAAACTAATTCTGAAACATAGATGGGAGTTAAAGAGAAATGTTCCTTGTAACATTCTCACGTGTAAAAGAGCATTTTCGTCAACTTTTTCATAACTTCTATCATCGGGCGATGTTTGTTTAGTGACCTTCCACTGACTTTATTATTATTATTATTTTATCATTTGCTGTAAACTAAATTAGCCTTTATTCCTCTCGCGGATTATTGCATTGTAGCTGTAAAATCCCTAATGTTTTACTACTTAATTATTACAGGGTTCTACATGGCCTGGCTTTGTAATGTCGGAAATTAAAGAACGCTTTTGTGATAAAACGTGATTAAAAAGTTAGAATCCAGAACATTTTTTCTCTATACATTAAATGTTGTAATGTTTGATTCTAAGTCGAAATACAAAAAACAAACCTCCTAAAATCTTTATTTTTGATTAAATTCACAGCAATGCCGTAAATGACTTACAAATAGGACCATAGAATATTTGTTTTACGTTATGTATGGGTGTTATTAATGATGTTATTAATGATGTTATTAATGGTGTTATTAATGATGTTATTAATGGCGTTATTAATGATGACAATCATATCGCTGACACCTACTAAATCGATTTTAATTGAACAAACAGAAAAAAACAGCGCCGCCTAAATAGTGTCTAACTGAGATGACCGTCGTTTGATAAAATTCAATCCATTACAATTTAAATGAAATGTTATTTTTTGCGGTAACATTTATTATTTTCTCTCTAACGAATGAAACGGAAAGCAAGAGACCAGCTTTTGATTTGCATTTCTAATGTATCGTGGTTGATTCTCACCATCGCGTCTTATTTTTCTCGTCCCGACGGGACGACGGGTAAAGACGAACCGTGACTCATTTCTCAAGATGCTCATTTTGATAAATAAGTTCTGTGGTTTTGTAATTATTTTTGGCATTTCATTAGCCTGCAGGCCTTTTTGTTGAGCCATTAAAACATCGGGCCATAACTCAGCTGAGCTCTGTTTCTAATTCTCACATGCTCTGGAATATTTTATTTTCTCTTTTTAACAAATAACCCGTTCTAATTTTTCATTGGAATTGGACATTTCAAATAAAATAAATTGAGTTTTTGATGGAAAAATATAAATTTGAATTAAAATGAAATGAGTAAAACGAATTTCAGTCCAACCCGCTGTGCCTGTTGACATGATGTCAGCAGTGATTGAATATAGAGGCAGAATTATCTATTGTATTTGTGTGATCACGTCAATAACCTCCACATTCCAAGTTGAAAACCATAGGCTTGCGTGAGACATCTTGACATTCAGACAGGTGTTTGAGCTTTGAACGAGATCTTGTACCTTCGCTGTCATTGAAGACAAAACCAATACTATTAATAGAAATGAAACAACTATCCCAAAAAGTAACTCTCCCCTTGTTTGTGTCTTGAAGCTGATTCACTTCCGATGTTTTGCTTGCTTAGGACGCAGGCTGCTGGTACGTCCTGTATGAGAATATTCTGGGCCCTCGAGGGCAGCTGTAACTTGTTAGAAAATAGAGCTCACATGGTCGCATGAGTCTCCGCGCTAACCTGCCATGTGACTGCTGTAATGGGCCTCGCCATGGCTGAGTCAACCACTGGGTCACAAGAAGCCCGTTTCCTGCGGCTGCGTGGGGGAGAGGATGGGAGGAGGTCTCATGATCAGCCGAGGGGGGGTCAAAGAGTCAGCCTTTCAGGTGCACCTTAGTCACGGCTGTTTGTTTTTTTTCCTCTTTTCACGTGTGATCCGTTTGGGAGGGTTGAGTTCAAGGCCGAATGTTTTTTATATCGTTTCAGATGGAAAGAATGAAGCGGTCAGGTTGGAAGGAAGGACAAAGGGAGTGGAGGCGGAAGGGAAACGCCTTTTTCTTCTTTTTTTTTTGCTGTGGCCTTAATACTTGAACATCCCCCAGGGGAAATTCCTGAAATCTGACGATGGATGGAGAAAAAAAAAGGCGAGACACAGATAGTGAGTGTGTGTGTGTGTGTGTGTGTGTGTGTTTCTGTGTGTGTGTGCGCGCGTGTGTGTGTGAGAGGGCGTCAGATAAGACAAGCGTGCACAGCGGTCAAATATTCACATGCTGGGTCACATTCTGCATTAAACTGATGTATAATTGGTGGAAAGCATTCATTCCATGTCAATAGGCACATTTTTGGCCTGAAATGAATGCCATCAGTTGTTCCCAATGACGGGTCTGAAATCGCAAGTCAGAAATGGCGAGGATTGGAGCTGGACCATGTTCCCTTCCTTCTCTCCGGGGCTCCCAGTTTTCATCACAAAATGTCCCCGTCATTCCCGAGGTGTGAAGTATGTCGGTCGACGAAGCGCTTTTATGATACTTTGATAAATGCAGTACTTCGACACTGCACTCTACGAAGGCCCTTTCCTCTCAGGAGTTTTTTGAAATACAAAAAAAACAAAAACAGTTGATGTCAGTGTTGTGTTTTTCCCAGGGGGAATTCCGGCTTTGCAATGAGACTATCAATAATACCGAACCTCATGTGGCTGAAATATTTAGACTTTCACATCGTCCGGTGCATGTGATGAAGAGAAGCTCTCCTCCAGCTGATGACCGAGACCTGTGCTGTGATTTCACGAGATATCCTCGGTACGGGAGACGACATCGCTGTGGCCGCCTGAGAGGACTTGTGTGTCCGGAGCCGTCGGGGATTGGCCGCGTGTCATCCTGGGTCTTCAGAAGGAACAGTGAAGGAACGTTGTGTTGGGGACTTGGGGATGAGAGGTTTGGGGACCCGTTGAGTGGCTCAGAATCATGCTTTTATTATTGAATCATGCTCGGAGGAGATTCTGGCAAATGTGCATCACACTGAGGGCTGCAGGTGTTTTCAAGCCGAGCGATGATGATGCTGCGACACGCATCCATGGCGATGAATAAAAAATGATTCTGCTATCTGACCCCTGTCACTCCTTTTCTTTTTTCTTCCCATTTTCACCCACTAAATTAGTGCAGCTGCACCACACTTAAATGGGTGCCCCTCTTTTTTCTTCTTCCTCTGGGAGTGTATGTGACCGACCATGAATCCTCTCTTTGTGCTGCGTCTGCAGAGCCCCCCTCCCCTACCACCACCACCACCACCCACCCCCCCACTATAGTTTCTTGCCGTCTCTGGCTTTTTTTATTTGGGAGAAGAGGGGCTTCGGTTGCAACGGCGGCAGCACTGGTGAGGTGGTGGTGGTGGCGACGGAGCGGGTAACTTGTTGGACCACATTCCTGTGCAGCTGTGGAGGCTGGTGCAGGGTGGGGGTTGGGGGGTGGGGGGGGGGGTGGAGGGCAGAACAGGATCATCATTGCATCGCGGGGCATCATGAATGGCCTATTGTTCATCAGCTTGCTGTGTCCGCATCTCTTTGCCTCGACTGCGAGAAGGAGGGAGAGACTGAGCAAAACAAAACATGGAACCGAGAGAGAGCGATGGAGCGATTTGTGGTGCTGATGAAGGAGAGAGAGATAAAGGAACCAAAAAAATAGCATAAAAATCAGTAATAGACATGCGGGTCTCTAACGCGCTCCCTGCATGGAGGATGTCGAGACTCAGGGTGTGATGGCGATGATGAAGACGGCGATGATGGCGAAGTGCACAATGGCGGCTTTCACATCTAGATTCTATGACGGTTTTGCCCCTCAGTCATACGTGCCAGCACGCCGTTTAGTCATGCATATATTCCGGCTGTTAGTCACACATAGAATTCCTCCAACGTAGGAAATGTCCTTTGTCTTGATTGCGAGAACGTTGCATTTCCGTCAAATTCACATAACAAATGTGTCACTTTGGACATATCTAGCTTTGTGAAATGAGATTGTGTTGTTTAACACGTTGTAACCTGATTTTTGTACATTTTCTAATAACTCTTCGTCTCGATTGCGAGAGTCTTTGTGTGACTTTTTCTCTTTGAAATCTTAGAATGAAGTGAAGTAAACAGTAGTCAAGTAACCAGCTGGACCAAATGAACCCGGGTGAACTCCTGGCTCTTAGATCAGTCCAACTCATGAGAAACTGCAGACAGCTTCATCTATGAATTATGTGGCATCGCACTGCGGGCTGCAACTAACCGCTGATCCATCGATCTGCTGAGACTATTCTTGATTCATATGGTGATACCGATTCCCATCAACACCTCACAAGTCCAAGATGACATCTTCAACTGGGTTTTATTTGAGCAATAGTCCAAAACCCAAATAGATTTAGTCTACAATAATATAAGACAAAGAAAGCAGAGCCTCTCTTTGGACTAACTGTTACCGGAGAGGATTTTACACTGAAAAAATGGCTCAAGCGCATGATGGATTATCAAAAGAGTCGATTGATTAATTGATCAATGAGAAGTCTGAGGAGCTGCATCGCCAACCATGCCTGTTTATTTTAGTGCACGTGGTGAAGTTTTGGTGTAAAAGCTGTATGGACCTATTATCACTGCCAACGCTGACGCCAATGCTCATTTGAGTCTCAAACCGACGCTCTAAACGTTCTTTAAGTCGCAACTAACTCCACATTAAACCCGCCTGCATTTCTACCACATGCTCAGAGCAGCTGGACAGTGAACCGATCGTCCACGGGGCGGCTGGGACGGGGCGGCTGGGACGGGGCGGCTGGGACGGGGCGGCTGGGACGGGGCGGCTGGGACGGGGCGGCTGGGACGGGGCGGCTGTGGTGGTCAAACACAGTACTCGAGCTAAAAGTTGACATGAGTTAGTCATGTGAGTCATTGGTGCCTTTAGTCACGTGAACCACTGGTCACATGAGCTGTTTGTCACTTACTTACTTACTTACTTAGTCAGTTGTCGGTTAGAGCCCCCCCCCCCCCCCCCCCCTAAGTGAGTGGTGCATAAGCTTAACCTAGTGTAAATGAATGGATGAATGAATGAATGAAACAAGCGTGTATTGAGACGCCGCCGTCCACAACTGAGGCGAGAGGGACGCCTGATTTCAGATTCAATTTTAATTCTAAGATGGTGTTTATATTGTCCCAATATTGTCAGTGTTAAATCAACACTCAACAAAATGTTAACAATTTAACCCGGAAAAAGTGTAAAAAATAAATCTGCTCAGTGTTAAATAGACTGTATGTAGAGTTAAAAAGTCCTTGAGGCTGTATAATGACTCTTTCGTACAATTGACTCTGTAACAGTTGAATTAACGTTTTGCTGTGTAAAGCGTCACAGTTTAGACGAAGCCGCAGCCTTCAACGCATTGAGGTACAAATATACGTTTGAGAGTATTTATTATGCCTCTCAACGTGACGACTACTGAGCCGCCGGGTCGCTGCTAACAGCGCTAACAGAGCTAAATTAGCTAACAGAGCTAACAGCGCTAAATTAGATAACGGAGCTAACAGAGCTAAATGAGTGCAACCGATGGGAACAGTCTTCCCCTGAGGGGGGAGCTGGAGGTTTGGGTGCTACGTTTTTCCAACAATATTTCTGGCTAACTTTGGGGGACTATAGAATCTTTTTCGTTTACTTTGTTGTCTTTCTCTTCATTTCATAACATTGGTATCGTGGGCTGTAACTCCAATCCTCCCCAATCCTCCCCAATCCTCCCCAAATGTTACCTTTTCTTTTTTTGTACATCTTTCTAATTTCTTCTCCCTGTAAAGCACTTGGAGACTTCTGGTTTGAAAAGCATTAAGCATCTACCGGAACAAGTGATTTACTGCAACACTGTTAATATTTAACATTTCATTCTCACCTGTGGACTGTTTGCTCTCCTCAAAGTTTAGGATTGTTGTAAACATGGGATTAACTCTGACGCGACATACCTTAAGGCATCGTTTTTGTCTGACTCAACAATCTAAAACCATAAATAAATGGATGTATTTTATGAACACAAAGCATCTGTTTCTTGATTTTAACATTTTCAATCGAGGGCTATAACTCATGTATGAAGTTTACAAGATGTTTTCTACGTGTGTTACAGACAAAGAGAGAGAGACAAAGACAGAGAGACAGAGAAAGTAGCGCAGCCTTCCCAATAATGAGTTCTTCTTGGAACATTTAATTAGTCTGTGTGAACGAAAGAGAAAGAGGGCGAAGGCCTGAGGGCTCAAGAGGAAAGGATGACCACATGAAAGGCTCTGTTGTTGTCAGCGCCGAGGAACAGAGATAAAAGGCAACGAGACACAAGATGGATGAGATGTAGTGAGTGAGACATATGCTGATCTGTGACCTTACTTAGGTTTTATTTCGTGGAGTGTTTCCTCTGGACATGAATGCATAAGTGTAGCCTAATTTCTCTGTTGTGCGTCAATAATAGATGAGTGTATATCACCTGTAGAGGGTGAGACGGGCTGTTCACACAGACAGGTGTTCGGACTCATACGTTGAGGCCGGTGAGCAGACAGACGTATTCACAAGAGGGAAGAGTGCGTTAATCCGACGTACAGAAAACTCCATTTTGTGCAAAACGGAAAAACGGAAATGTTGTGATTAAATGTGAAAGGTTTCAAATGAGGATTATTGCCGCCTTGCATACTGCTATAAAAGGTCTATTGTTGTCTTTGCTGCATCAGCCTGAGACAAAGACGGAAGAAAAAAAAGATCAACGGCAAAGCGGAGAAAGACATTTCTTTCTTGGCAATAAAGGTATATTTTGAGGATAAACTTGACCTTTAATAGCACTTATAAAAAAACAACAACTGCAATTTTAAAATCAATATTGAAAATGTAGCAGTGGATTTTGCCATGTGGCCAAAAATGAGATACTGCGCCACTAGTAAACATGCAACATACAAGACTGAAAATCATAAAAAATGTCAAAAATATATTCCAAAACGGTGTCCCTCTCACACCGGGTCTACAAATAATAAAGCAGGACTGAATGCGTTTTTAAAAGGTTTAACTTTTTACATTTACTGCTGTTATTATTACGATAAAAGTACTTTATAATAATCAAGTGGTGTACGGATCCAAAGGTTACAGCGCTGAAGCGTTCTGAATGCTCAACACTGAAACACATTTTTACGCCGCTGTCATTGTTATTTTGAAGTCGCGTTAATGATGTTTGCAACCTGTTTTCCAGGTTGTTTGTGTTTTACTTAGTCAACACACTTATTTCAAACCCAACAATGATGTCTTTTCTGAACCTAACAAAGTGGTTTTGTTGTGTAGATTCACAACATTAACCACGGTTTGACTGCGGCAGAAAGGGACACCCGGAAGGAATAGTACAAAAGTATTAATATAGATAAATACCTCAAATTGTCAATTCATTTTGCACAATCCCACACTGCATTACTGATAATATTATGATAATAATCAATGATAAATTAACATATGCATCACTTTAAAGTGGCAGCTAATTGATTTTTTGATTATTTACCCGAATCTGAAATTGAACTAAAGTTATCAAATAATGATGCATTAAATGTAAATACTGAGGTCATGAAGTATATCTTAGTTATTAGAGTAAATGTTCATCACACCATGGAGAAATTGCAGCAAACCAAGACTAGAGTCAAGCCAGGAATGTTGTGTTTAATTTGCTATTCTGATTGAATTATTCTGCTGTTGAAATGTGACCGTGCCGACGTCAAAAGACGGACAGGCAGACAGACAAGAGTGTCCAGAAGATGTTTGCCCTGTGGTGCTTCCCAGCCCGGGTCTGTTGGGCCTCCTCCGCTGAGCTGAGCAGTGTCGAGCAGCACACAATGCCCCTCTGTGCCCTGCTTCACAGCTCCACAACACACAACAGCTCATTATGGAACCAGAGATCCCCCTCCACGGCTCCACGGCTCCACGGCTCCCGGTGCCTAAATACTGTCCCCTGCTGAGCGCACAACACACACACGGTCACCAGCTCTGGCCGCGCAGCCCCGAGGCCACCGCGGATCTACAGGGTGTCACGCACACGAGAGCCCGCGCACACACTTAACCTACAAGAGGATGAACACACACCACCTTATTAAGAAAGATCCAAGTGGGCCATTAGAAGTCTTAACAGAGGTCGCAGAGGTCGCCCAGCTGCTCTGCCTCACAGACGCTGATGACAGGGGGGGGGGGGGGGGGGACGGTTAATTAACCAGCATCAGAAAACCGCCAGTGAGCGAAGGAGGGGGGTGACAGCAGGGAGATGGGCCGACCGACGGGATGGGATGTGACGGGTCAGAGTGGCCAGGAGACAACATCTGCATTCATCGAGGAAAAGGGAGCATCTCCTCCAACTGTTTAGGGAACGCGCAGAGCCATAAAGTTGTCACCTGGTTCGGTCTTATTAGGGGTTGTAAAGACGCAAGACAGCAAAAGAAAACCACGGGGGGGGGATTAAAGCGCGACATCGCCCTTATTGTCAGTCGTGTTAATGAGAACACGTTTACACCGTCACCTCTCAGCAGCACACGGTCCCAAAGACGCCGGCCTCTGGTCTGGATCTCGGCCTCCTTTTGTTCTGTCTAAATACTAAATACTGTAGCTTGACTGGTCTCATTTCTTCACATGGGATTAAAGTAAGGGTTCAAGTTCATCTTTACTTAAGATAACCTATTTTATTCAACCCAATTCAGTAACCCGTTGTGGAAATGATCTTTTGATATTGTCTGGGGTTGGTTTCAAATTTGTATTCCCCTCAAAACAAAGCAGGTCCTTTTGTCGCTGGTTGCACGATACAGTTCACCCTCTGAAGCAGCCGCAACATGATGAACAACTGGAAAATGTTTTCCTTCATCATGAAGAAGGAAACCAAATGTTCTTTTCCCCATTCCAGTCGTAGACAGTATATTTTGGATCCTTTAAGAGGTCTCGACCCGTAGGTTGGGACGCACTGTTCAAAAGTACGAAAAGTGTCCAGAAGAATTGTTTAATTTGAGTGAGTGATATTTTAAACATGCTGACTTTGGTACAGGGTTAAAAAAAAAAAAGCAAAAACAAGAAACGCACAGAGACCAGTGGTCACACGTTGTTACTCTCTGTGTAATCGCTCTCAGACCACACGAGGGAGCTGCTTCTACGGCCAGAACCTCTGTCCTCCGCCTCTTTGCAGCTGGGCGGACTTCAGCGCCTCCTGCTGGTGCTCATGTGATGACTGCTTCTCCCTCTTATTCCTCCAAAATAATTGTAGCTTTAATCCCTGTGCGCCCAGTTTATCTGTGTATTGTAAACCGTGGAATGAGTTTTTTGTTTTTCGGGGTAAAAGTTTACCGTTCGGTTCATATTGTATCCGACTTCCCTCCATGTACAAGTGACCGGGCGCTCTGCAATGATCAGCTTGGCTACATTTTATATAATGTGTTGTCAACCCGAGATCGGTGGGTTTCCTTCCCTTAGCAACAACTAGAAGTCAGAAGAAACAATGTGTACCAACTGTACTCATGTTAGGTGTAACCTAGCAACCATCTGTGTCAGTGGCAGTGTGCCTGCGTGTTCAGCTCAGCCTCCGACTCAGACATCCCCAGACAAGAAATAGACACTTACCCATCAACCGCACTGCACACGGCAATAATAAGCAGTTCAGTGGCTCACGCTCCTTAACAAGTAACTAAAAGAGTCTACAGCCATGTGAGGATTTGAGCTAAATGCTAACATCAGCATGCTAACATGCTCACACTGACTGATGCTAAAAAGTATCATCTTAGCTTATGATCATAATTTGCACTAAACTCAATGTATGACTGAGGCTGATTGTCATTAGTCTCACAGATTCCCGGTCAGATAATTCTCATTTTTGGATGTGTTTGGATCCAAAGTCCAGACAAGTAGGTTTTTTGTGATCTTGTCTGTTCAGAAAAAAGGGGGTGACCGGCATTAAGTAGAGACTCCACAGGGACAGTTTGAGCATCAACAAAACAACGTTGTTCACACTGTTGCAAAGTGTCTGTATCTATTGGTCAAAGTAAGAATAAAGTGCTTGTAAAAGTAACAGAACTCAAGCTGGAAAACAGAAGTTCAAAATACCGAAATATTTTATTTTTTACACAGAGAAAATAATTCTGCTGAAGTTTGCATTTGTGTCAGAACCCCTTTAAATTGAATTTTCACATATTATTTATGTATATGATGCATAATCATTTCAAAGTTAAAACAACATCTTATATAATATTTACAAAAAAAAACTTGACTTTACTGCAGATCATACACTGTCAAATGAACTAAAACAAGCAAGAACGTTTTCAAGATACCTCATGATTTGAGAGAAATACCCAGTGGCCATTTTCCAAAGAAGATGAGCTATGCGTTCTTTAGATGCTGATGTTACAGGAAGTGGACACTACCTGGAACCAGAGAAAGTCGTGATCGAAAGCAGAGTGGATTTTACGGCAGCTGCAGAAAATGATTTATTTTCAAACTATTTCAATACTTTGGTTGGAAGCACACAGACGAAGAGAGGAAACAAATGTATGGGCAGCCATTACCATCGATCAAACCCCTGACTCTCTGCTGATGTATAACGGTAAGGTGGGCTGTAGTCTGTCAAGGCTGATCTGATTCTCTGAGTCCAGAACACACAGCATCTCCACCTTCTGCTCCTCCACAAATGTCTCTTTGAATCCCACGTGAATGTCATCCCTTATCTTTACCTCTCGGTCACCTCTTATTTTCAGCCCTGCCTCGTCTTTCACCTCCTCCTCGTCGTCCCCGCAGCACAGGGCCACCTCGTTCTCGTAGCAGAACGCGCTGGGGGAGTGAGGCGCCAGGAGGTGGCGGCCTGCCCTCTGGGCGAATGGCGACGGCGACCGGGAGTAACTCGAGCTGGAGGATGAGGACTCACCGCCACGACCCATCATCTGGTTCAGTTCCCTGGCACTACAGTGAGGCGTGGATGGCACTTCGTAGGACTTGTGGAAGCGGGAGTAATCCACCTGGTAGCGGTCACCCTTCTCGAAGACCACGGGCTCAAAGCGGTGACCCCACAGAATCTCCTTGGACAGGTAGGAGCTGCGGGCCTGGGTGGTCATGGCTGTGGCCTCCACCATCCCCTCCAGGATGACCACGATCTCAAAGTCCTCCTTGAGCAGGTCGCTGCGGCTCACGTCATACAGAGGACTGGTCTTGTTAATCTCGTGGACCACCACCAACGGGGACACCAGGAACAGCCGGTCCAGCCCGTCGTCGTAGCCGACATCAATGTCCGTTTGCTCCAAAGGGAGGTACTCGCCCTCCGCCGTCACGTGCGGCTTAATGAGCTGCGCGCGGACGTGCGCTTCGACGATGTGGCTCTTGCGCATGTTTCCCAGGCGCCACATGAGGCACAGCTTGCCATCTCTCAACGCGATGACGGCGTAATGCGAGAAGAGCAAGGTCTGCGCCCGCTTCTTGGGCCGCACCATCTTTGCCATGATGGTGCCGATCATGAAGGAGTCAATAATGCAGCCCACGATGGACTGGACCACCACAGTCACCACGGCGACCGGGCACTCCTCGGTCACACACCGGAAACCGTATCCGATGGTGGTCTGGGTCTCTATGGAGAAGAGGAAGGCGCCAATGAAACCCTGGATGTGGAGAATGCACGGCCGCCATTCGTCTTTTGCGTCCTCTCCGTTGGCTCCAGGATCCCCTTCCTTCGCGGGCACGCGGAGGCTAAAGTCTCCGTGGATGAGCGCCACCCCCCAGAAGACCACGGCAAACAGCAGCCAGGACAGAAGGAAGGTGGTGGTGAAAATAAGCAGCAGATAACGCCAGCGTATGTCCACGCAGGTGGTGAAGATGTCCGCCAGGTAGCGCCGCGGCTTGTCCTCCATGTTGTTGAACACCACGTTGCACTGGCCGTTCTTCTTCACAAAGCGGCTGCGCAGGCGGCCGGTGCCCAGATCCAGGCCCAGGCGGCAGGCAGGTGAAGCGCGGCAGCTGTTGTGGATGATGGGCTCCTTCGTCACCCTCAGAGATAAGGCCCCTCTGGCCTCGTCAACTCCTGGACAATCCCCCACTTCGCCTCCTTCTTCAGTCCGCATGCAGGCCCCCGACAGCGTCTGCTGGGTCAGGGGACTGTGGCCGTTGTGGAGGCCCAAGGTGGAGATCTTCAGGGGATCTTCGTCTGTGGAAACGATGCTGTATCTGGAAGAAGAGAGGGGAGAGCGCTTATCAAGGGGAATTGGCATCGTAGAAAGCTCTAAAAACCTTTCACGTTTAACACAACGAGAGAAAATGCTTGGCTCTTATTCAAACAATACTACACAGTTCATGTGTTACTGGTGAACGGGGAGCAAATACTTTACCCTGGAAACTCTTTAAATATAGAGCATCTCCCCTAGTGCAGCTCAATTGACGCCGCTTCAACATGTGAAAAAATCCAAAGCTTGATGCACGGCCTGGTTATGGTTGCTAAGCTACGGTTTCCAACAGTTAATGGTATTTGTTGCTGCCCTTTGCTTTATAAAGGGTTTACCAATTACAATGAATGTCTTTATATGTTATATACAGTTATAAGTTGTTATCTTGAAAATTATCTGTGTTGCCAGGCTTGAAAAGTGTTCATATTTCATTCATTCAGTCCTAAATAAATCATAAATCCTCATGAGTCTCACACTTTCTAAATAAGCCACCCGGTATGCTGATGGGAATGACATTGACCAATGAAAACACACTGTAATAAAGAGTTAATCACAGTCACACAAGCTAATAAACTCAAGGAAGGGTGAAGGGCAAAAACAAGTAAGCCGTCTGCATGGAAGTATAAATGTTTATCGATGCTGAGTTTCTGTGACAGTCCTTCAAGTCGGCAGGAATAAGTATTTATAATAGTTCATATATGTGTTGTCCAGGTGCCCTGAAGCCATGTTCCGTAATGTTAAGTTATTGCTTTGTCCATTTTTCACAGACTGGCAACCCAAACGGTATTCTAAATAATGACTTATATTGGGCTATTGACTAGCAGGTAATAATTAGTTAACGGTTATAAACCATTCCGCTTTTGAAAGCAGTATGTGTGTGTAATATGTTCAGAGTTGTGGTGGCAGCAGTAATTTGTGATTACTAAGTGACGTGCAACAACAAAAAAAGCCACAACTTTTTACTTTTCTTCAACACAAGAGCAGCGGCACTGACACCGTTCTATTGGGCGTCCTCTCTTACCTATTGACCCGCACCGCTCCCATGGCACCGGCGAGCATCAGGCTGTGTCTGCGGGGGCAGTAATGTAGGCTGGGGCGGGCAGTTCCAACCATTAAAGTAGTGTTGCTGGACGGGGAGGCAGTGTGAGCTCAGGTGCTTCTTGCATTCGTTGTCAGCGCATCCTTTTCATGATAAATGTTCTGTGAACAAAAGAACATTCGATTGTAATCGATATAGCTAATTCCTGCACACCACTACAAAACCGCCAACACGCTCCAAATGCCATTTTTTGGTTAATCTTTGGCTAATTTTTATTTGGCACAGCCTTCTTAGCACGCTAACATGCGTGAATGGACATAACCATGGTAACATCTGGCAAATAGCAGCTGTACAGCTGAGGCTGATGAGATAGTAAGTAATTCAATGTAAGATCATCCAAGAGCTGCTGAAATGACTTCGGTCCGGGCCAAAGGGGGGATCGTTGACCTGCACAGCGCTAAGTCGCAAGCTCGACTAAAAATCCATAATCAAATATCTCTCTGTGCAAATGTCTTCTTTGCCCTAATGCAGGGAGCAGACCAGACAGCTTTTGGTGATGAAAGCATATTGATTAGGTACTTGCTAGTGTTTAGCCTTAGGGACCTTCATGGCCAACCAGTGGTGGAAAACCAGACAGGCAGTGGACGCACAAAGGTCTAACAGAGAGATGAATCAGTGTGAAGCTACTGTTAGCGGAACAATTGATCTGCTGTTTGGCCCGATGACAAGGTCAAAGGGTGATTTCGCTCAGCGTATTATGTCACCAACCTGGAAACAAAGAGAAGCAAAAAGCACTGGCTTGCATAACCAGTAGAAAGCCAATCGCACGCAGCATTAAAGGGCAGCTTTTGTTTATGTTTCATGCTACCTAAATCCCTTCAGCTGACGTCAGTGAAGTAACAGTTGACAATAAAAAGTAGGACTAGATTGTCTTGGGAACATCTCTGACAACTTTTCTTTTAAACGCCTTCTAGCTGTCAAAAACAAGGGCGAGCAAACACACAGACACATGCATATTGTGATGGGCTCTGTTGTCGTGCAATGCAACGCTTGCGTATGTGATGCTTCCACACTCTTTTTCTTGTTACACCGAGGACAGATGTCAGGGACTGGCTGCTGATTAGCTGGATGAACAGGGATCGTTGACTGGATAATCCAGATGATTACGTCAGATTGGTAACCCCCCACAGCTGGAGGAGAGAAGTCCTAACCCTTTCTTACAGAGTCCTTAAAGACGACGGCCAATATGCCAATGTGGTCACGGCGTAAGTGAGGGTCAGTGCCAGCAGCATCAGGACAGGGATGAGGACAGAACCACACGGCTCACATGCCAGTCCGCCTGAGTGAAAGACGTCTTCTGTGCAGTTCATTTTATGATGTTGGTCTTACTGTAATTTATTGGGTTAATTACAAGAAACAGCTATTTATCAAAAACATGCAACATGCCTTTTTTTAAATAATTTGTTTTTATAAGCACAATTCAGTGTTTATTCCAAAGAAAATTTCAAAATGTTTTACCCGAAACAGTAAACCAAAGGCATCCATGCTCCATGTCCACTAAACAGCTCTGCTTTGCACGACATCTTTGTCATCTCCATGACAACTGAGCACATTCCGTCCAGACACAAAGCTACTGAGTGATCCTCGAGTCAAGACCGTTTCTATCCAAAACGGCCACTACGACGAAAATGATGCCACCTGCTCTCAAGATAATAATGATAAGCTTCACAAATGCGTCACGTGTCGCAGGAGCGACACGCCGCTCCATCGCACTGGAATTTATGTTATGGATTAGAATGTGGGACTAATCAAAGACGAAATCTGTGATCGTCTCATTCCTCCCCAGTGGAGCTTTGTTTACATGTTAACGTACAACGTTGAACCTGATTGATTCAAAGTTTGTGGCTGTAAACGCTTTACAGTACATTAGTAACTGCACCCTGGATGACCAATAAGTACGACCGTTAACTCAAATGGAGCCTGTATTAGCCGTAGGAACAACTCTCTTCTCCCTCTCTGGGGCTGATTTGAAGTGTGTGTTTGTGTATTTCCGTGTGTGTGTGTGTGTGTTGTGATGGTTTGTCACGTGAGACAACCTGGCAAGAGGAAAGGAGGTGGTCAACGGACCGAGGAGATGAGGAGTAAATAAGCCAGTCGATGGAATTCATTGGTAGAAATGTTATGAAACGCGGGTTTTTCATCAGTGTGTCATCACCCAAAACTAATTCTTCTTTTTTGTTGATATAAATTAATCATTGTGTATTTATTAGCTTAGAATGATTTTTTTTAAAGGCAAGTGGTATTTGACACCTTTATTGGCTCCATGGTGTTTCTGCAGGAAGAAACCAAACACTGGCTTTTGGGGGATTGCCTTCTGCGTTTCTAAATGTCAGCTGTCAATCACATCGTAGCCATGGAGCATGCTCTGAAGGGACTGTCATTTACTAAATCATGCTGTATCAAAGAAGACTCAAGAATAGAGGATTGACCCACGCTTACAATGTTAACAAGTAATTGTCTAATTTCTTTTTGCCGTTGAAGGAGTCGTTGCAAGAACGCAGTTTAAGGCACTTCCTCGTCGGACACGGAGGTTACTGCCTGGTCTCTGTTTAGTTGGTGTAACGATCGGCAATTTCAGCGTTGGATGCCACCAAATCCTGCGTACCGATCCTTCAAATCAGCCCATACATTCATAAAGAAGCTGAACCTGCACTAGACCACAGCTGTCCACAAATACCCACTATTGATATTATTACGCAGTGTGTGGCAGGCTGTGACGTAGCTCTCATCCAGGTACGTCAGTGGAACTAAACTGACATATATTACAGAATAATCTCGTGCAGAGGAAAAGTATGGAAGGAGCACTTGTCAAATACCGGATTAGTGTGTCCCTTAATCTCCTGATCCAAACAACAATATGAAAGGTGGACGGCAGTTGGTGTGTGACCTGCTTTAAGCCCTTTTGTGTAATCTGAGATCTGAGGATATGAGAAAGAGGAGAGAGGAATGCGGAAAAAAAGGAATAAGGACTGTGAGGTCCTGCAGGTTGGACAGTGTGAGAAAAAAAACAATACAGATTAAGATGACGAGATTATGATGTCAGACATTGTTACTACAACGCGTAATGCCATTTACAGAAAAGTCAAAGCTTTTCATACGAACGCACGCCAGAGTTGTAAATCTTTGACAAAGGAATGTGTGAGAGTGCTGCATTTCATCACGGCCTGTGTTCAGCGCTCGGTCCTTCTCATTTTCTGTATCTTTGTATCTGTGTCATGACTTCAAGATGACATTGATCACTAAGCACAGCAGTTGGTCCTCACAGTGTCCTAGAAAGATGTGGAAATGTGTGCGTAACAGCCGCATACTTATTCTCACAGGTCCTCCCACGCACACCAAGGACACACACAAACAAACCACTAATAACTCTTAAAAGTAATACGTGAACAATGGAGAGTAGAACATTTGTCTTCTCTACTACAACTAAATACATTAACTCAAGTGTTGTACTTGAACACAGTTTTGAGGTGCTTCTACTGAAGTATTTATGTTTTCTGCTCATTTGTACTTTTATTGCTCTGAATTTCCAAAGCAAATATTAAACATTTGTTTTATTAGCATAGTGTCAGAATAGAATAAAGTCAGAATCACTGTCAGAAGAACCATTTCAAAGATATAATATTACTGTATTAAAACTTTTAAAGTATTACTTGTAATGGATTACATCTATAGTGAAGTTTCCATCCTTGCACATTGTTGAAGGAGGTCAACGGCTCACGCGGCGCCACTAGAAGTTATGACGGGGCGGTTTGCAAACTCAGCAGCAGCTATGACGTGAATCGGTTTCATTGAGGCCACAGGAGCTGTCCAGTGCTGGAAATCAATCCAAAGCCTGCAGGAATAATCGACAGCTGGGAGCAGAGAGGTGGTGGGAGGGAGGCGTAGGGAGAGGAGATGAGTATAACCCTAACCTTGAAAAAGGATTTTGGCCTTTAACATCTTTTCCTCTATCTGTTGATGCTCCCCGAAATATTTTACAGCCCACTTACGCAGCCACATGAACGCTTTATCAAAGTAAGCTTGTTTTTTTGAGTTAGGGGGAGACAAACTAACACCGGGCTCACCAAGGTGTCATTGTCTTAATATATGTTTTTTTTCATTTGAAATCTTTTATCTGCAGTCAGGAAAGTAAACAACCTAAAATTCTTGATAATTAGAACATTTTAAATAAGCATTTTGGGGTCATACATTTTCTTCAAATCATCCCAGAAGAGCCATCAGGCATTACCAATATGAAAGATACGATTAGGAAGATATCAACTCTTACCCTGGTGTTTCTGTCACTCGTAAATTAACATCAGATTTCATCCTCGAGACGACGGAGTTGTTCCTCCCTTCTCTGTTTCTTCAATAAACAAGCTGTGGTCATAAACGTTCTCCCAAATTTCTGTTGAACAAACTTGAGCACGTCTCCAGTCGGAGCTCCATAGTATCCTGTTGTTCATCTGCTGCGATCACCGCCAGTGTGCGTGTGTGTTTGTGTGTTTGTGTGTGTGTGGGGGGGAGAGAGGCAGCAAGAGAGAGAGAGAGAGAGAGAGAGAGAGAGAGAGAGAGAGAGAGAGAGCTGTGATGATGGTCCTCTGTACAGAGAGAGAGAGAGGAATAGATATGCATGGTATAAATGTCTATATGTCCTATATATATGTATATATATATATATATATATATATATATATATATATATTAAGATTTTGAATTTATCCCACTTTGACTTTGACGCACGTCCATCAAAAACACATGATGGAAGACTTTAGTAAATCCAAAATATTTCTGTATTTAGTGGTTAGAACTCTGCAGTACAAAATGCAGGTTTATTTGGGTCATTTGAGAGATCGTTAGTGTGAATACATTTATTTAGTTCTGAAAATGAGTTTAGGGATTGACTTGTTGGTCTTGACAGGAACCCCCCTCCCCACCTCTGCCCTGTTCTCTACATATTTATTATTTCAATATTCTCAAATACGGTGATTTAGCTTATTTTTTAGTCTCGGAGGCAGAAGAGAGTACTCCCAGTCCGCAGCTTCCTCCTCCTCACCCTCTGTCCTGCATCTCGGCGGCGAGCAGCATCACTCCCCCCAAAAAAGAAAGTGATTATTTTAATCTTTTCAACTTAGCGCTCATCAGTTTCTTTTACTTGGTACTGCGCAACGACAAGTGAAAACGACAGCGTCCTTGAGTCCCCCTGGTCGCTGTCATCTGTCTCAGAAACATTCGCACGCAGTCGCATGCCAAGACAGGAGATTAAGTAGTTAACGTGTTATGCCTCCCGAAACACAAGTTACATAATGGTGATTTGTGTTTATGTCCTTTCGCAATTACTGGAACCTTAATTTGTACGAATAACGAATTAAAAACATGTGTGGTGGACCTGCAGGTAGCAGAGACTCTGCAGCGACATGATTCATCCATTTTTAGTCTTTAACTTTTAGTCTTTTCTACTTCATTTGTCCATTATTTGCTGTTTCCAGCTCCTCAAATGTGCTGATTTGCTGCTCACAAAAGAAGCAGTTTTTAAAATGTCACTTTACTGTAGACCCCGGCTCTGGGAAATGGGGATTGGCGTTTTGCTAAATATTCTTTATAGATTCAAGCAATTAATGCATAGTATAACAAATCATTAGCTGCACCTACATGTATAGGTTAAAGTGTGACAATATATTCTGGGATGACATGAGGCTGTGTGGAGCCACCAATCTTAACAGCTCTTACGAAAAAAAGAGGGATTTTCTTTTGGCAGACTTGTTGATGTTTGATTTGTTTGTTTGTTTGTGCGTGCGTGCGTGCGTGCGTGCGCCAAATAATCTCTCCTGCTTTCCTTACTGATAACTATTCATCCCAGAAATAGAAATAGAAAGAACAGACCAAAATGAAGAATCGGCTTCCGCTGCAGCAAGAACCCTTTTGTAGTGTACAGATGAAACGCTCAGTCTCTGAAAATATATTTAAAAAACATTAATAAAGTAAAAAACAAATGTTGATCTCCCATTGCAGTGCCAGCGAGGCCGACTATGCTTTCTCATCTCAGACCTCTTTGAGGTGTTATTGCCAATCAGACGCATTTCTTTAGTTTCCATGGAAACAACATTTTCTCTTCTTTTGCTAGCCTATAAATACTGTCCCTCTCCACGTGGTTTATTTATAAACCTACCTTCTTTTTAGCTCCATGAGACAACAGGTGGGTCTCGCGCTACGTAGGAGAGGAGTGTGGGCACCGGTCAGGGGTCATAAGGGATCCAATGAGAGGAAGGAACACAATGTCCTCCGTGTAACCAATCTGGAGGAAAGTTGTTACTGTTGCGCTGCTGAAGGAGGCAGTTCGACGAGTCCAGCAGACAGAAAGTTTTCCAATCGAACACAAAGTGCAACTTACCCTTGAGAAACGAAGGTGCGACGCACACGTTAGAATGCGATAAACAGCGATGCGTCAGCAGGTTGCTCTCAGAAAACCTCTCAAATGAGAACGTTTTAAGTTGTTAAGTCGGGACTGAGGGGAGGGAAAGACCATCCGTGTGTAGAAAGAGCACACAGGACCAAATCTCATTGCAGCCCTATTTAATGGCTCCCCCTTCAAATGCCACAAGAGCCAGGAAACCTCATTTCTTTAAAAAAGCAGGCCGAGGAGGAGGGGGGGGGGATGAAGGGCGAGAGGAAGGCAGGAAAGTGCAATCGTTCCCAGCGGATTTACTCTAAATAAAAACTGTATACAGAACTGTAACACCAAACAACCCCAAGAACCTGGGAGATGTTGTGTACACAACTGCTGTGGGCATTTCTTTCATTTCTCTCAATGAATAAAACAGAACATATTGAAAATTAAACTATATCTACAAGATTCATGTCAGACCTGGACTTGAAAGAGGACTCCGGGGCAGAAGGGGGAACAGAATAGGCCGTCTTTATTAGGTTCTCCCACACTATTGCGATAAAAGAAGCAGCTATATGAAAAAAAAAACATAAGAAACCTATTAACAAAATCTGAAAGAAATGATCTATAAACGCAAATACTTCATGGTGGAGCGTTTTTGGTCAGGTCACGACTCGTTTCCTGACAAAACGTTTGCGTGGGACAGGACTCCAGCGGACAAAGGTCCCGTGTGGCGGCTGTTAAAGATTGATAATGATTTAGAATCTTAGGTCCTCGTGGACAGAGGACGCCTTTGGGGTAGAGACAATGTTCTGCCTGTTAAGGTTGTTGAATGCAGAAGGTTGTCCAGAGCAGAAATACAAGTAACAATCGATACTGGCCTTGGGTGGAAGGTTAGGAGTGCAGGATCAATTGTTGCCCTGTATTCTGACGTGATTGATTATGGAGATTTAATTAATATACAGTTTAATTAACTATGATTAGTCTTAAAGTAAGAAACTCAGTTACAGGGTTTATTTTTCTACCAAGTGGGCCTGTTTCCTCTGTTATTTATAGACAAAGGGGTGCAGAGGGACACAATCGATTGCATGTGACGTAAAACCCACCAACAGTAAAAGCTGAGCACGGTGCATGTGGCCGTCTCAGCCTCCCTCCGGCAAAATCTAATTTATTGAAGGAAAACATTGTAAAAGCAACTTGTGATTTGACCATAGTAGTCTCAAGTCAAAACGTATCAAATGAACATATGAACGTAACAACAAATCTCCACATTTGCTCCATTATATTCCTGAATTCTTTTGAGCGTTTATTCAAAATAACGGTCATTCCCAAAAACTTGATTTTGCAGGAGATTTTATTTTAGTCGGCAAATAAATTTGCTGTATTTCACCCAGTCTTTTATCTAGCGTTTGTATCGTTTACCTACACAAGAAAGTCTTAATGTTTGTGTTGTTCTAATAATTGATACCAACTTTTAACACTGAATTAAATATGAACTATAAACTCCACCTAAACTTATTTGGTCTGTATATTTTTTCATTAATACTTGCATAAGATAAAATGAAATAAAAATGAAGTTATGATTCTTCACATGTATATCTCTTCCATTCATCTATATATATATATATATATATATATATATATATATATATATATATATATATATATATGCATGTTGGGGTTTGTGAATAAAAGAAAATGGTTCACAGAAAGGATTTCTGGAAATGCTTCAGTAGGGACCCTCCATAAATTCCATTCTAACAATCCCATGATGCAAAGCGTCAAAAGCAAGTACAATCACACAATACTCAACCAGTTAGCTAGGACAGATAATGACTATAGAAATAAATAGGATAAATAAATATAAAAATGCCTGAATAAACAAATGCTGAAATAAATACATAAATATTTAAATGTTGAAATACATGCTGGAATAAATAAATACAAGTAGTATAAATAAATAAATGCTGAAATAAATATATTAAAATATAAAAGAAATAGTATATAAAGAAATGCAGAAATAAATATAGAGATAAATAAATGAATACATCGATAAATAAAAGTTGATAATTAAAAAGGCCATAAACAAATACATGTCATACATTTATTTCTACATTTCTGTTCTCCTACATGTATTAATTTATTTATGTGTCTATTTACTGATGAGGTGGGAGGTCCTAACCTCTGTCTAAAGCATGATTGGTCACAGGAGTTTGATTGCTTCTGCCTTGCACATGTCGTTGAAGTTGAATAGCTCACCTGTAGCACAAGCGGTCGGTAGCACTTATTTTAACATGGCATTGTTTTTACAATCCATTTCAAATCAAATACAATCATTAGACGATTTAGAGAACCAAGTTAAGAAGGCCGGATAAAGAGAAGTCATTTTCTGTCCTCCATAGTTCGCAATGAACGTGATTGGTTGCTGTCTCAACACACACAGGTAGCGGTGGAAAGGTTCACGTGGGAGTGACTTCAGACACAACAAAAGTAGCTCTTTTGTCCCCCCTCTTTGTGGCCCCACTGTCAGGTTAACCATCTGTGCGGCGAGCACCACCACCGCCCATCGGACATCTGCCGGGACGAGTCCGTGCCGTGTATCTCTTTCTATGGCGATATTTGATAGGATGGGCCGATGTCAGAACCAATGAATGGTAGTTTCCTAAAATAAAATAAAAACCTTTGTAGCCTGCATGACCGCACCACAACATGTCCGCCTCGCTGTGAGGAAACTGAGCTTTCGATAAAGGAAAACACTTGGAAATAAACCTTTTTCCTACGAAGACTTTGGATGAAATGCATGAGGTGGAGTGTCACTGTTAGGTAAGCCTACGTCTATGTGCAACTGTAACTGATGTTGGAGGATTTCTTCCACGTAATGATTACATTATACCCTGAATGTTTACTGCTCAGAGGTGTAAAGGGATACCAACAATAGAGGTGTGTATTTCATCCTGCGGGTCATCACAGTGCTCACAGACTCCTCTTAAAAGAGACTGACTCGAGTTCTATTAATTAAACATCACAAATATACTTTCTAAAATGTGTATCAGCTTGTTTGCAATGGAAATATAGATATCCCCAAAATGAACAACAAATCTTTCTAAGCCTGTCTAATCATAACTAATAAGAGTTTTGATGAGAGCTGTTATTGATGCTATGCTAATGTTACAGAGCCTCCTGGGAAATAACCACATCTATTGAAAATAAAGGCTTCGTGCTAAGGTGCCTCAGCCAAACGCCTCAGAGGAGATGTTCCGCAGAATGGACGTGGCGCCCCCTGCTGAGGACCCATACTGCCGTCAGTTCCATCCCAACACCTTTGACCCCTCTCGCTGCGGCTCCTGCCTGCGGCCGGATCGTATGCACCTTGGAGACCAGAGTATTACTGCTGCGGCTGCTCAACGGGACGGCTCACCACAGTGGGTAGGACGTCTATACGGCCTTCAGTTCAGTGGGTTTGGGAAATAATAATGTGGAGGGACAAATAAACAGAGTAAAATGGGGTAACACTGGGGCTTGTATTGTGAAAGGTGAAACGGAGGGATGGGAGTTGGTCCATGCTGCCTTTGTCAGGGGGGAAAAGAGTTATTAGGTCGGTTGTCTGGGTTCAGACTACAGAGCCCCTACAGAGTACTTTTATATTTCTTGTATGCATGATATTCGCATTCTGTGTGGAAAACCTTAGGAAAATGTATAGATGAATTACGAAAGAGCAGGAATAAAGCACCTTCCACGTAAAGGGTTAATTATTGTCGCACTCCTTTAACTGTGAGCTGCTGGCCACATTGAACTGTGGAAAAAAGCAAACGGGTCTCAGGAGAAACGTGAGCATGTTCCGACTGATCATTGATTAGAAAAGACATGAGTAAAAAAGAAGCACCGTCTGTGTATTGCAAAGCATTTTAAATTTGCTTTTAATAATTCCTGCATGTATTATTGACTAACATTTTCACCTGCAGCAGTTTGATCCGTTCAGGCCTCCATGCTTCAGCAACAGCCAAGGTCATGTAAACAGTGATGGTTGCTAAACATTAAATAATACACGTGCATCAAGATAAAAGTTTTACATATTGAGGTCAGAATAGATTGACGTTGGGTGAAGTGCTTTTTAATGTCTTGCCAACATTCAATAGAAAACTGAGGGGGAGGAGGTCAACTCACAACACAATCAGACAAGGGGAACTTCTGTGGAGGTGCGAGGAGGATAATACACTAAGGTGCCATTTGATTCTGTATCATTAATTAATGGCAGCTCAGTACGATGCTCGGGGAAGGGTTTGTAATGTGATATCCCCGAATTCCAACACGCCCCCTCACACAACGCTGGCACACATAAGTCAGACCACGCAGGGGAATATAGTCAAGTTCTTTAATAAAGTTTCATCGTAATGTGCACTGCATTTCAATTTTAAAAGAAAAGGCAGCACCTTTAGACTATTTATGACCATCAGCAGATCAACAGCTAGAAGGAGCAGCACTTTTGAGGTCAGCCCGTTAGTGAGAGACAGAACCGAAGGAGATGAGAAAGAAGCCGAGTGGGCGGTTCTGGTAATGCGAAAGCACTAGAGCAATGAAATAATCATGAGCGTGACCAGAGACCGGCTTGAGTTACGTCCTGTGCAGTCCGAACGTATCGGCTCAGATAGAACGAAGGGAGAGAAGAAAGGAGGGCAGGAAGGAAGAAGGGAAGCCGCTCAAAGGACTCGACTGGCGATTTAGGTGAAAGGACCAGAAGTCACAGTAAGTTGGGACTTAGTGTGCATCTACAGGTTAAGTTAGGTTTGTGTTGTTCTTTAATTAAAAGTGTACAGAGTAAACAACACCAGGCTGTAGTTTTGTGAGGCTCATGATGTGGGGCTTTATATTAAATATAATCAAATGTAACAGCATCACAGCATTTTCTTTTGAATGCAGGTGATACAAAATCTCAATGAACATCTAATTTACAGACACAGGCAAATAAATAGCGCCGGGAAAAGTACTTCTCACAATTCTATACTCTTCAAATGTGATTGTGTTTCTTTCTAGTTTTAAATACTCTGAATCGCATAAATTATCCGAATACTTTTAAAATGTCTCAATGTCCTCCACCAACTAGGAAGCAGACGAGGACACTTGCACACCGTCTGTGACCACAAGTGCCAGCAGCGATGATGTCAGCGGCGGTTGGAGCTACGAGTGGAATCTGGTCCCCAGTCTGAGTCCCGAGTTGGAACTTAACACCTGTGACAGCGACATAGAAGCCAGGTGACTCTATCCTGTATCCTGATTTCAGAAACCACTTTTTTAAAAACTAAAACACATCGACTGACGGCTGAGCACCAGAAGTGTTTCAGCTCTTAATAACACCGCTTATCTTTCAACGAGTTAGTTAGTTTTAATGTTACATGCAATGAATAAGTCCTCAATATCTGTATTCAAAAGCTGTTCCTGTGATTTTACAGGCCGGACAACTTGATAACTTCTTTGTGATATTTACCAGCGTTACAAGATCCATCCCTCGTAGCAATCGTAGGCCCCTTCTTCCTGGTCACCAATCCAACACATTTTACAACTGACAACTCCATCTCATGACCTTCACCTGCCCTCCAGCTCTCCAAATCAGTGGGACTGTCCCGAGGGGAGCAGTTCCCTCAGCTCAGAGCGCCACAGTGTGGCCCAAAGAGATATGACCCGGCTGGACCCATCTGAAGCCGAATACTCCTTTATGGACGAGAGGAGGGGCAGAGACAGGTCCCACCGGACATCAGGTAATAGACAAATACACGCTGACTCAACATTCTCCACCACTACTCTCTGACGGACACATACTAAGGAAACAAACTGTGTGATCTGCAGAGTCCCGAGGAGACAGGGAACCAGAGAGCGGCTACTTCTCTCCGGACCGAAGAGGTGATGGTGAGCGGCCGATGGAGGAGGTCAACAAGCGGTCGTATCGTTACTACGAGCGCGGGCATCCTCTTCCCAGTAACTACGTCGCCGAGCCAAAAGCCTGCGTCCCCTACAGGAACGTCAACCTCGGCACGCCCTCCGAGAGGAGGAATCCAGAGACGTACATGCAGGAGGTTTGGAGAAGTGAATCGCCCGAGAGGTACACGTACCACTCCAACTTCAGACGGGGAGCCGATTCACAGAATAGTTCACCAACACGTCACGCCTCCCTGAGCCCAGATCGCTGCAGGTTCACAGAATCTCCTGTGGGAACCCGGCGCAAGAGCTCCCTCTCCGTGAGTCAGTCTCATGACTCCTCTCCGCTTCCATCACATGGCCTTTCCCGGCACACGTCCAGCAGGTCCAGTCCATCTCGCAGGAGGGGTTCTGTCGCCTCTCGGACCGTCTCGCCCACCAGATCCACCCATTCTCACAGGCACGCCGACTCTGTCTATTTACAGAACGGTGAGCGTGATGCTCAGAGGAGGTGCAGCTCGGACTTGAGGAGTCCATCGCAAGCTTCCTACAAACACAGTTTGGACTCTGAGAAGCTGTACAGGAATCTGGAGTCTATCTCACGCAGAGGCTCGTCCGCTATCCAGCAACACTCATTTGAAGAATCCCAGGTGTCTCCTCGAACCAGAACAGCCATCAACAGCTCGGCCAACACCCGCACTCGCAACAGCCGGCAAGTATCACCGTGCAGGAACGGCTTCAGTACACACAGCCACACCCCACAAAGGGAGCCCGAGTCTAGAGACAGCAGACCGAGTCCAACTCACGGCTCGTGGCGAGGGTCATGCCACTCTTTACTCAGCCTCCCACCCTCTCGCGGTTCCTCGTCGAGACGAAGCGCAGACTCCCAGATGCTCGGTGGTTCCCTTTCACATGTCGCAATCACAGAAAGGGACAGAGGCCACGAGAGGAACAATGAGGTCGGCGGTGACAGAAGCAGGAGCAACATCAGGCGAGGCATGGAGGCCCTGCTGATCTCTGAACCCAAGAAGGCTGCAGTGGAAACAGAAGAGGTGTGTGTGTGTCAGGTCAAATGATGTTTTTAGCCAAGCTCCCTGCGTTTTGGATGAAGGCCTCTCTGTGTATCACTTATTCTACCACTGAAATATCCAAAATTGTATGAATTCCCATGAAATTTTGTAGAGATATTCATGGTACCCAGAGAATTAAAACTTAGCGGAGAGGTCTTAAACAGGGGGCCCAGGGGGTCCGCGGAGGTGCTGCAGGGGGGTCGCGAAATTTGGGTTGATTAGACCGAAGGGAACGGAACAATTGATGGAGAAGACGTTATCTTTCAGTCTGCAATGCACACATTCAGCTTCCCACAGCAGCTCTCGAGCTGGACACCGGCCAATCAGATCGCGTTCATGCTCACGTCTAAAGAGCGCAAAGCTCAAAAATAAAAGATGGCGGACCAAACTCTGTAGAATAGGGGGTCCCTGCTCCATCTCACCATCAGTCTGGGGGTCCTTCGCCTGAAAAACGTTGGAAAAACCCCTGACTTAGATTCAAATGTCCCCCCATGTGTTGGATGGAGTCCAATGTTTGTTCAATACTTTTGTCCATGACCATTAGTCTAAACTAATTTAAATGCATGCTAACATGTCTGTAGACCGTTATTATTTATATATTGTGTACCACAAAAAACTCATGACGCATATCGTGTGAAACGTTTTGTAGGTGGGGATGACCATGGAGGACTACATTGTCCTGGCCGATATTCCAACTATCCAGCTGGAGTCTGAAGAAGAGTCTCCGGGGAACAGGAGGAGGAACCAGAGTCCCAGCCCCTGCAGGGGCAACAGGCTTCGGGCCGACAGGTTGGTGGTATCATATGGTGCTGTAGGCCATCATTGTATAGACATAGTTAAACAGATTTGGAAAAACACCTTTGTAGCAAGTAGAAAAATAACTGCAAAGACATCTTTTGATCTGGCCATAAGCTATTTCCTTAGGAGGAGGATGTCAGTTGTGCCTTTTGTATGTTTATTTGTTTGTAAAATATTTATCTGATTTGGCTATGAAGGTACCACGAGGAGATGGTCACCTACAGTTCAAGACTTGAGTCGGACAAAAGGGGGAGAGTGAGAGAGAGAGGCAGAGACAGGCAAGAGAAATGTCGGGACGCTGAGAACGGACGGTCATCTCGACGAGGGTCAGTCGCATCGTTTCATTCACAGGTACCATGTTAGAGCTGCCGTGTTGTGTAATGACTGAATGCAACCCACGTTTGGTAAACCACTGCGTATGTTACACATACAGGAATATGTCTTGGTGATTGGTGCGATATCAGAATAAAATAGAATAAAATAAGAATAAAAAAGAAAAAATGAACAATATACAACAGATACGTAGAAGACGTATGTATGTACATATATTCCCACTGTGCAAATGTCCTGAGCACGTAATGTCTGGGTCAGTGGGGGACTTGTTTCATGAGACCAACTGATAAGGGGGAGAAGCTGTTTCTGTGGCGTGAGTTCTTGGTCCTGATGGACCTTAGCCTCCTGCCTGAGGGACGGGGCTCAAAAGGTTTGTGTCCGGGGTGAAAGGGGTCGACTACCATCTTTCTTGGCCGCCTCAGCGTACTGGAGGGACGGCAGATTGGAGCCGGTCACCCTCTCAGCAGAGCAAATGATGCGCCTGCCCTTGTCCTTGGCTGTGGCTGCAGCGTACCAGACCGTGATGGAGGAGCCGAGGACAGACTCAGTGACGGCCGTGTAGAAGTGCACCACCGCCTTTGGCAGGTTGAATTTCTTCAGCTAGTTAGGAAGTACATCCTCTGCTGAGCCTCATTAGTTATCGAACTGATGTTCAGCTCCCACTTGAGGTTGTGGGATGTGATGGAGCCCAGGAAATCAAAGGACTCCACAGTGGTGACGGGGGAAAGTGGGGCTGCGTTCCTGCGGAAATCCACGACCTTGTCCACTGTCATTAGAGCGTTGAGCTCCAGGTTGTCACCTCCGCACCACGTCACCAGTTGGTCGATCTCCGACCTGTAGGCTCATCCCCACCAGAGGTGTGTCCAATGAGGGTGGTGTCGTCCAGGAGCCTGGTGGACTGGTGACTCTAGGTGTACAGGCCCAAATTACTTAAACAGAGCCTGTAGAGCAGTGGCCAAGAGGTACGTAGCAGTGTGGACTGGTACTTCAGTTAGTTCATTATAAATAAAGTTATGAATAAGGTATTTTGAGAAAGCGTTTTGCCCCCAAAAAACATATTTTAGCATGTAGCAATGATGGGCTACATCAAATATTTAGAGGATGGATTCAAAGATGCACAGTGAGACACTTACAACTCCCCCAAGGACGCATGGCCACACACTCGAGACTGACTGCATGATCTTCCTGTTGGAGATGATACCAACAAAAGCTTGTAACCCTGTATGTTTACTACGTTGAAGAGTTCAGACAATCAAAGTGGAAGACACAAATCTTCAAAGGTGAAGAAGCGAGCTCCTCTGCAACGCCCGCAGACACAGGTGAGCCCGGTCCCATGACTTCTCTGCACCTGCACAAATCCACAGAGTGTGTTGAGGAAAATGGGTCATTCATACTTTTATTTATAAAGTTGATCCCTGTAGATAGTGTGTATTTTCTTCTGCTGCTTCATCTAAGGTGCCCCTCTCAGGCTGGGAAAAAGCCATTAGTGAGCACTACACGTTTTATGTCAGCATGTTCCTGTGATTAATCGTTTTTAGATGAGTAGACTCGGGATGTATCCTGCAGTGTCAGCGCTGGAATTGTCATGCCAAAAAGTGTGGAGTCAGCAAACGAAAAGGAATGATGACCAAAAAATGAACATTTAAAATGTTATTCCACTGCTTTGAATCACATGCAACTAATCCATCGTCGTAGTAGTTCTGAGACCCTGACATGACATTTCTACGAGTACACTTATACCCTTTGTGACCCATTTTATTTCCTCCCACGCAGTTTGGCTTTCATGACTCTTTCTTTCTCTCCCCCCCTTTACGATATGCAATGCGATACGTGGTTGGTAAGTGTGTTATTTTCTGCTAACACGCTTTAATGGCACCTGCTTGGTCTCATGATGTAAATTCACTGTCTCTGTCCTGCTGTTCAATGTGATGATCAATGTTTGGCAACATTCACCTCTTCCCTTTTCTTACGTTTCCATTCTGCTGTGCTCTGAACGTCTGCCTGCCTGTGGTTATCTCACAGACACATTCGTCTGCTCTGAGAGTTTCCGTTTCCTCTGCCTTCACAACCAGGCACGAGACAGAAACCTTTCACAGAGCGTAATCGACATGCTTTATTTACAGGCGTTGTTGCTCGCAGGGCTGGATGTCCATACTGGATGCGCATGGCAGGGTAAATTGATGTTTTTTAAAAATGATTTCTTAGATGTTCTGTACTAATTCCTGTTTTACCATAATGGTTGAGACGTCACAGAAGACTTGATGTTGAAACCATGTACAAACACATCCAGAGACTACAGTAATTCATGTGATGCTGTTAATCGTGTTTTTCTCAGTGGCAGAAACTCTGGTTTGTTCTGGGTGATACCTCACTGAGGTACTACAGAGACGCAGACGCCGAGGAGGTAATTTGTGAGATAAAAGTAACTAGTACATTAATGTCAGCCTATGGCAACTCATATTACACAACACATGCATGCAGATGTTGCCACTAAAACAGGAGCAGCCTCGTTGGTGTTGGTGGAGTCTGTGGCGCCTGATACTATCTGTCCTTGGTGTGTATTTGTGCTGCAGGCAGATGATGTTGAAGGAGAGATAAACCTGATTTGCTGCATCAATGTGGCAGAATGCGATGTGGAGAAGAACCATGGACTGCAGATACAAGTACGTCTTAAGTCAGACCCCCCCAACCCCCCCTCCATCTCCACATCGATTACGTGTCTGGCCGCTTCCTGTTTAACAGCGTGTGTGTGTGTGTGTGTGTGTGTGTGTGTGTGTGTGTGTGTGTGTGTGTGTGTGTTTTGATGTCTTCCAGACAAAGAGAGCACTGTTCACTCTCTCCGTCATGACCTCTAGAATACGGCGGAACTGGGTGAAGTTGCTAAAACAAGCGATCCAGAACAACACGCAGTGAGTCCCACTTTGGTCTGGGAGACAAGGAAATATTCAGAGGCTTTACTGAACCGGCAACATCTCTTGCGCAAACAAAGCAAATTTGTTGTTATTAGCAAAATAGGCCAAAAGTATTCTTTTTTAATCTCGGTGAGCAAAAATGTTATATTATTATGCATCAAATGTCTAATGCTGATGACTTTAAGAATACTGCTGGGCAGTTAAATAATATTGCATCATGGTGGCATGAGGAGTAACTACACTTAAGGACAGTCCTAACAAACTAAGTACTGAAGTGCAATCAACTCCAGCCGAGAGGCTTATCTGGGCCTTTTCCAAAGAAAAAGAAGTCAATCAAATTAAGATTATTGAAATACCAAAGTGAATCTTGATCTGGAAAACAACAGACTTAACAATGTGATTTACTTTGATCCCTGTATTGCTTATTCATTATAATTAGTAATGTGCGGATTACATAACAACAAACCCTCTCTATCACCTTTCTTCTGATGTGTAACACTACCCACCTGTCTTTCTCTCGCTGCGACCTCAGCCAATCGGACTCCGGCAGCGAGAAAGACTACCCCCTCCCCCGGAGACCGTCGCCATGCCAACCCGCCGCTCGCTTCGCCTGCAAGGACTCCGGCTATGAACCTACCACTTCCACTGCCACCGTCACAGCTGTAGACCCCCGTCAGGCCGACCACCACCACACCGTAGACCTGGATCTGGACTTGTCTCCGTCCAGTCAGAGAGAAGAGGGGGAGGGCTGGGACCGCGAGCAAGCCAAGCGATTGGAGGAGAGGAACAAGTGGTTTGAGGAGGGGGTCCCCTTCAGTGAAATGGGCAGTAGGTGGGACTCGATGGCGCTGAAGAGGGGGAGTGCACCTGGGCACCTCAACGAGACCCTGGACTCGGACGTCAGCAGCAAGTGGGTGGAATTTGAGACGTTGTCAGTTTGTGACACGATTGGAGCCCAGACGCATCAATCGAGCCCCGAAGAGGCCGAACAGCCTGAAACCGCATCACAAACCGATGTGTGCAGCCCGTGCAGGAATGGAGAACAAACCGATAAAGGGGCAGCTCTTCAAAAGGAGGTAAGAAAGAACTTCACTCCATTTAAAATGAGTTTTTTAAGCAATGAGCGGCGACACCAGGTGGACATTCCTCTAAAGTCTTCACCAGCCAAGCAAATTCTGCTGATCAGTAGTTTCCCTCCCCTCCATCTCCCAGGCCCTCTCTCTTCGAAAGCAAGTGGAGAGCCTCCAGGGGGAGCGTGCGGCCTCGGGGGTGGAGGTGGACAGCCCGTGTGGCCCCGGGGCCCCCTGCAGGGCCAGGCTGGTGGCTATGGAGGAGGCCCATCGGAAAGCTCTGCAGGAGCAACAGGAGAAGCACGCGAGGGAGATCGCGGAGCTGCAGGAGCAGAGAGACAGGCTGCTGCGGGAGGAGAGCCAGGCTGCCGCTGAAGGTGAGGGAGCGAAGCACGCCAGTAGCGCCCGTTGAAGAAAACCTCGCAACCAGTTTAACAAATGAACAAATTGCTCGTCGCAGCTGTGGAGGCAGTGAGAGCAGCTCACAGGGAGGAGCTGGAGAGGGAGGTGGAGAAGGCCAGGAGTCTGGCTGGAGGAGCTGCACACGCGGACGCTCCACACGGAGGCCACATGTAGGTTTTCGAATCGCCGGCCTGGCGTCGTTGCCGAGGGCGCCCTCCGTCTCGCTGCGGGCTTCAGATGGTCTGCACCCGAGCGTGACGCCCGCCCCTTTTTGCAAGACGGTGCAATGTCAGAATTCACTCCGCATCTTGTGTGTTTTTGCGCGTGTCAGGCCACAGGCGGACGCCTCGCGCAGCGAACTAGACGTGCTGTCCGAGCGCTACGGCCAGAGGTGCCTGGAGCTGCGGCACGGCGAGCAGAGCGGCCGGGGCCGAGAGGCCGAGCTGGGCCTCAAGGAGAGAGAGCTGCAGCAGCTCAGAAGAGAGAACCAGGTTCACACACATTTGAATCCCTTTTTAACAGTGTGCGTCTCGTGGGGGGAAACGAACAAGGACGCTAACAAGAACACGCGTGGTGGTTCACATTATTCCTGCATGACATCATTTGAGCCTTGCATCTCTTTCAGGACCTCAAGGTCAAACTGGCGGAGGAGATCAGCCGCATGCGTTATTTCATCACGGGCCTGAGGTCGGACACGGCCTCTCTTGGCAACGCTGAGCGCGCTGCGTCTGAATTAGAGGTACTGATTTAGCGCTCGAGACTAAATTAGATCCTGCGTCATTCAGTCTCATGTGAAAGCAGGTGATACTTATTAAACATCTGAACTTATTGCTGCATCCTGGCCCAGTTTCATTTATCGCACCTGGAGGACTCATTTAGGGTCGAAGGTCAGCCGTCGAGTCGACCGTCAGCCGAAGGCGGCAACAATGAGCTGTGGGATTTTTAGGCCATTTTGAGAAAATGAATTTTTGTCTGGTGTCCCCATGTAATGGTTCCCTGTAGAAACACTGTTATCAGTTCCTCTTTTCCTTTCAGTGGCCTCATTCACGTTGCAGTGCAGCTAACGCTGCCATCTACCGCCTGGATCATAATCCAGCATGGCCGGAAATCTTTCTCAAAATACCATATTCAGAACTTAAGTATAATTCTGCATGTCAATAAAAATCCCTACATTCCCAGTAATATCTGCAACAGGAACGTAAAGTATAGTCTTTGTAACGCAGACAAATAGAAGAGTTCCATCTTAAAAGCACTGGAGTAAAATATTCAGTAACATGACAGGGCTGCACTCAAGTAAAAGTACCTCAACACGTGTATTTCGCTGTGCTTATGTTGTACATCGTTATCATCAACTGGTAATATCATGACGCCACATTGTGTTTTCCAGACATTACTAAGAGCAAAAGACAACGAGGTCCAGTATCTTAAGAAGGAAATCAGCTGTCTACAGAATGAAGTGCAGTCCCTCACAAAGGTACGTTTCATAATCAGACCTCCTGTTGGAGTTTACAACTTTGACTTCAATACAGAGCCAAATGTTTTGATCATTTGACGCTTTCAGGTTAAATCTTTCTAAATGATGCAAACGTTTGGCCTGGATTTGGCTCCATTCTTCAACTGATGCGTCTACAACCCTTTTTCTCCAGGAGAAATCGGCGGCTTACGAGCGTTACAAGGAGGCGTACGTGGTGCTGAGTGACACGAGGGGGCGGGGCCAACTGAAGACGAGCTCCCTTACTGAACACTTGAAACTGGCCAACGCCGCCCTGCAGGAGGGAGCCGGGCAGGCTGACCAATGAGGAGCCATCATGTCAATATACAACAACGAAATAGTGACATTACAATGACAATACATGCTGTTGGGACTTAAAAAGAAGAACTCAGAAGGAAACCTCTGTGCAAAGACCAAATACAAGTGTTCATCCATGTGTAATCGACTCCCTTTATTGAGTTATCAGACAAACATGCAAACAAGAGTGAAGGCATAACTAGTCGTTTAATAGCCTCACATGATGTGACATTTCAAGAGTGAATTTAGCAGAAACAAGATAGCGTGGGGGAGAGGGAGGAGATGGGTGGAGGTGGAGGGATGTAGCTGGATGTCATGTGCCCCATCTTTCCCAACTCCCTTGTGCCGGCTGGTGTGCTCTCACTCAATATTGCAAAGCACCCTGTGGATGTGAATTTAAAAGTAAATTAGCTTTCTCCAGCCCTTTCACATGAGGATTTCTACACCTTATATACATGGCAAAGAGTGCGCATGAAAAATAATCGAGGTGTTAAATAGCGTGCGGCTAAAGTAGGCTTTCACTTTACCATTTGTTTTGTGGCCCGGGCTCAGTCATCATCGTCGTCGTCCTCGGGGACAAAGATGTCATGCTCTTCCAATAGAGCAGCAAAGTTCTTGCTGATCAGAGTTCCCACGTACAGGAAAGGCACCACCACTACGGTCAGTCGGAAAAGACCAAACGGCGTCTGAAAAATATCAGAGGGGAACGGTCACAAGACATTTAGATTACGGACATTATTAATCCCCACCTCAGTTTGATGTGGGATACTTTGGTACGGATTTGTGATTATGGACCAAAACAGTGCCTCGAACGATGAGATGAGATTTAGCTGACAATATATTGAGTGTAACCAAGCCATAACATGTTGACAGCAGGCGACGCAAAAACTGCATTTACATACATTATTACTTCAAAACAGAATTTCAAAGTACTTTTTAAATCGGATCTTTGATTCAAGCACAATATTGACTGACAAAAACGGGGCTTCATGGTAAAGTTGATGCCCTGTTTTGAAAGATCCTATCACAGATCGTGCCTCAATCACCTCGGCTTGCAGACACAATCCACCGACACGTTGTGAGTGCTGTTGATCTCAGTTTATTTGTTTGTGTACAGATATTCTTTTGTTCCCAGTGGAACCAACACACTCTCACAGCGACAGCGATCAAAAGCCTTTCGCTCTCCGGTCCGACACTTGATTGGATCAATAATGACCTAATCACTTATATAGGTGAGCACCGGACCCAAGAACAGCGCCACCCAGTGTACAGAATAGAGTAAAGCCATTTGATGGGAACATTTGGCTCCTACACTTTATTATGACATATATTTAATTATTCTAGATTCACATTTATTTCAATTGGTCTCTTCGTTTTGGCCTTGAGGTGGTTTTCAGTTGTATTATTTATATTTAATTATCGGAACAGAGGTAAACCACAGATAACGCTTACAGCATACATGCTATTCTGTTTAGGATACATATGAACTGATAAATGCGCGTAGAGGCGGTTTTAATCGCAATGGACATAATTCCAGTTCCAAAAAAAACGTTACATAGAACATACATTTCACGTCTTATTACTATTATTTGCATTGTGTAACGTAAAATGTCCACTTGAATCAATACTGGCTTGAATTGACAAAATTAGTCATAATTACTTCCTGACATTCATCTCCCGTTCGAGTAAACACGCTTTAATTGGCTGAAAGAACTAACACAGCTCGTCCCCTGCCTTTCTATTCGCCACAGTCCCTGTCAATTCAGAATTAAGTCCCGCCTCCACTGTCAGGCATATTTCTAGTCGGTTTTATACTCGGTAACGCTGGCAGATTTAAACTCACTTTATCCGGTTTGGGTAAGATCGCACCCGACGACGTTGATACTACGGTCCTGCCTTGACTCGTCCTGGATATGTTCGGTGTTTTCAAGCCGGTGTTACGGCTCGTTACCCCCGCATTTCTGGTGAAAAGTCGCAGCGGGAGCCGCAGTACACCCGTCGCCATGTTTTCCTGTAATGCGGTGGAGCGGGTGACGCGCTGGGAGGTTTATGGACGCGCCTTGACGCTTGACCCACCCAATACATGTTCCATGCATCAAGGCCCTCTGCGAGTTATCACCACATAACTCATTAACTTTGCAAAATGAAAATGTGTAAAATCGTAATAACAGATACAAAAAAACTAATGAATAAAGGGCAAGTGGGTACCTAAGAGGTAAATCAACCCTTGATTAAAGTTTATTTTATAGAAAGAAATAAGCAGATTCACATAAAATATTGAAAGTTCTCAAAGGTTTTGTCAGGTGTTGAATTTGACAGTAAAGTCCATTTAGAACTTACTGGTAGGCTTTTCACATACAGCAAGCCTTTGCTAGCAAAATAATGAAGGAAATGTACCATTGTAAAGCTTTTTGGAACATATGGTTCAACACTTTTACAAGCTATATATTGTATATGCTAACCGAAGTGTCTGTATTCAAATGTGATTTTTAACTTAAAAAATAAATAATTCAATATGTCTCCACTAGAGTTGCATTTGGTTTGGTTTAAATATTTAAATATTTAGAATTAGAATTTAGAAAAAATACAAATGTACAAATTTAAATGATTATAGTTTGCATTGTTTGCAAAATAGACATATCTGAAAAATGCAATACCCAAAACCGTGAGCAATAAATACTCAGCTGTATTATATATCTTTTTTATTCCAAATAAAGGTTCTTTGTGACTGGAATTATGCTTGTCTAATGCGGTTTGCCAGCAGAAAACATGCAATAACAATTGTAACGCTTTTATCCAAAGCTGCTTACATTGCATTTTTAACCCATGGTTTTACATTTTGCCCCGGGGAGCAGTTAGGGGCTGGGTGTCTTCTCTGGGACACTTCTTCATGGGACATGGAGCAGCCGGGGTTTGAACCGCCAACGCCTTTAAATGAATCCAGGGTGTTACAAATACATATTCCACATACACTTATGAGTTTTTCACACATTTCCCTGTTAATTAATTTGTTGATATTTCATATATCCCACCATTTTGACATTTGAGAGGTGTAACGTCGCTAAACGGAGCAGCGCGCGGGATCGACTGCAGCACTTCCTCGAGGCGGAGAGACGGGAGCGCGCTCCGCGGCCACGCGCACGGAGGGGAAGTGGAAAAGGCGGAAGAAAGGACGTTGAATAAACTTGCCAACTTCTAGCCGACTGGCTAGCTAATACCGTTAGAGACTATGTTACAGAGAACCCGGTAACTTATTTATACTCAGAGTAATTTAGCTAACCCACCGCCCTCTCTAAATCCAGTCACTACATCAACTCGACACGACCGCGGGACATCTTTCAAACAGACGTTGTTCCGCCGACCCGAAGCCATCCACCGTTACAAAGTCACGTTTAGCTGTTGCTAAAGTGCTGTGATAACCGGTCAATCGCACCGACGTTACACACAACCGGTCCGCTGACTCGGCGGGAGTCGGCCTCTTTCTTCCTCCGGGGAAAAGTTGCCCGCGGTCGGCGGAGGTGCCAGCGAGGCCTGCGGTCGAGGAGGCTGCATGTGTGAGGACTGTCGGCCGGCGAGGAGTGACTCACGCAACGTTAGCTAAACAATGTCGGCCCAGGCACAGATGCGAGCGATGCTGGACCAGCTCATGGGGACGGGGAGAGACGGTGAGCACCGCCGCCTGAGGCGGAGACCGACGTTTGGACCGAGCAGGGCTGGAGTTTGTGTTGTTGCTAACATTAGCCGCAAAGCTAACCGACGAGCCAGTCAGTGCGGCATGCTTTGCGAGCCAAGCTAGCTAACATGAGGCTAGGTAGCTAGCTGGCTAGCTACCTGTTGTGTGTGTGTGTGTGTGTGTGAGAGAGTGTAAAGGGCAACTCGAGCTGTTGCTTTCATCCACATAGAAAACAAAACGTCGCTCACACGTCGACGCTGCATTTAGTCTTTGTCCGTGTGCTCTTTTATCCGTAGCTGCCTTTCTTTCCACCAGATGTTGTCATTTTATCAGACTCTTGAGCAGTTAACTTTTAGGGTTTACTGAAAAGATGACTCATTGATGGCAAGTCTTAACCTCAGTCATTCACTACGTATCATGGCACGTTTCAGTCTTTGCACCAGCTAACAAGCGCTCTTGTGGTTTTCTAAGGCGATTCCATGCGGCAGAGAATCAAATTCTCAGATGAGCGGGTCTGCAAAAGTCACCTCCTGGATTCCTGTCCTCATGACATCCTGTCCGGCACCGTGAGTATCGCTCCCACAGACGTGTCCTGCACTGAAGGAGTGCAGCATTAGAACAGCGTATATCACAGCGTTGGCCCCACTCCAGCATGTAGGGCTGAAACGGACACAACGTCTGCACGTTTAGGTTGAACGTGTTGGAGGACAGACCTGATCCCCGGGTCAAATGTCTCACTGTCTCAGGGTGACATGGAGGGCACGGAGTCTACAGCGCAGACTCGACAAGAGCCCCATTCTAAATTTGAACATGTCCAATTCCTGTCCCTCAACTCAAGTTGACATATTGTTAATACAACAAAAACTCATAATGTGAATGCCAGCAGACTTGAGTCAACACTCGAATCAATTAGTCAAATCCAGTGTGCTGGTGTACAAATCAATGCATTAAGAAATGAACGGAAAGACTAATCTCAATGATGAGTGACAAAACATACTAATGCAATACGTGGACGTCTTTCTGTTTGCTGCAGAGAATGGATCTGGGAGAGTGCATGAAAGTCCATGACCTGGCGCTCAGGGCGGACTTCGAGATTGCCTCTAAAGAGCAGGAGTACTTCTTTGAGCTTGATGTGAGTAGTACACACGCCCGAGAACCCCTCATGTCCAACTCTGGCGAAGGTCGCGGTTTTGTTCTTTGACTCCACTGCGATCAGTGACGCAACTCTGTCATAAACATGTCACACATGCCAACCTTCCTTTTCTGAGTGCGCAGCTCACTATTCCAGGTAGATCTGTTTGGTCAAAGTGCTGCTGTGAAATTTTGACTAACTGCAGAAGAAGTTGTTGGTCCATTTTAAGCAGCAACAAAGGTCTAAATACTTAATTATCTTTGAACGTAATTAAGAACCGTACTTGTAAATGCTTGTATTTTTTCCACAGGCTGCTGAACATCTCCAGTCTTTCATCGCTGACTGCGACCGCCGGACCGAGCTGGCCAAGAAGAGACTTGCAGAGACGCAGGATGAGATCAGCGCTGAAGTGGCTGCAAAGGTGCTAATGCCTTGCTAATCTTGCTAATCTTTTTTGGGGGGGCACATTCACACCCTCTGGTTATCATGATTCTGTGTGAAGGAATAAAAGTTTATTCCTTATCGCTCCTGCTCTGGCAAAGGCTGAACGCGTCCATGAGCTGAACGAAGAGATCGGGAAGCTGCTGGCCCGGGCGGAGCAACTCGGGGGCGAGGGGAACGTAGATGAGGCCCAGGAGGTGCTGGAGATGGTGGAGAAGACTCGAGGCTTGAAGAAGGAGGCAGAGGTCAGGAAGTTGATCGCAGCTTCGTTAGAATAAAAATCTGTATTTTGCAGTCGATCCATGTTAAAATATTTAGTTTTTGTGTGTACCTTGATTCCAGCTGCACGGTCCCGTAACCTTTTGTCGTTGCAGGATGTGTACAGAAACTCCATGCCGGCCTCCAGTTTTCAGCAACAAAAGCTTCGTGTGTGCGAGGTGTGCTCTGCCTATTTGGGTCTTCACGACAACGACCGTCGTCTAGCCGACCACTTTGGAGGCAAGCTGCACATCGGGTTCATTGAAATCCGCGAGAAGCTGGATAAGCTGAGGGTGAGGGCAGCATACTTTTTAATTTTGCTCGATTATCGTTCAGTGGTAGATTTTAGTTTCGTTTCCTTTTTTATTTGTGCTGTTTTTTAGTTCTATTCCATTTTTTTTTTCCATCCAGAAAGCAGTGGAAGAAAAACAAGAGCGAATGCGATCGAGAAGACGAGAGGAACGTGAGCGCGATGACGAGAGGGAGCGGCAGTGGGAGCTGGAGCGCGAGCGGGAGAGGGAGCGCGAGCGGGAGAAAGAGAGGGAGCGCGAGAAGGAGAGGGAACAAGAAAGGGAGCGTGAATGGGAGAGACAACGCGAGAGGGAGAGGGAGCGAAGGAGGTAAGAAACGGCTTAATGTTGCTGCTGCGTTGGAGGAAAAAGGTCTGTGTTTAAACTGAACTGTGTCCTTGTTTAGGTCCAGATCCAGAAGTGGAGAACGATACAGGTGAGTCTGCTTTCAGTCACATCGCTCAGTGGCAGACCTGATGGAATCAGCTGCTGCTTGGCTGACCTTCAGTTAAATTCCGTCTCTCTCCTTGAACTATTGTTCCAGGGACGGGGGCACCTCAACATCTTCCTCCCACCACTCTCGACGCCACCGCTCCTCTCGTTCCAGAGAAGAAGGCGGCGGCGGCGGCGGCGGCGACCGGGAGAGAGAGAGGAAACATAGACACAAGGAGCATCATCGCTCGCGCTCCCACTCTCACAGGCCCAAGAGGAAGAGGTGGGGCTTGAATCCATCACTGCAGCTTCCACAAAACCGCAGCGATGTCCTTCTGTCGTCGCTGCGGTGGGCATCGTACCACCGCTCTCTGCCCTCGCGCCGGCACGATGACCGCGATGATCAATCCCTCGCTGGTGTTTTCTCGCCCTCCAGGTCCTCCAGAGAAAGATCGTCTCACACTCGCGAACGGGAGCCCTCGCCGTCCCAGGAGATGTCCAGACCGGGCGCAGCGGGAGAGGGCTGGCGTGAGGACAGGCCGGAGTACGTCGAGTGGGAGGGCGGGGAGAAGCCCCCCTCGGCGGACGCGGCCCGGCCCAGAGAGCGGGAGCGGTCCCTGTCGTACGAGCGGGACCGCCGCTCCAGCTCCGAGGAGCGAGAGTCCGGCGAGATATGAGCGGATGCCTCAAGTCCTGGGATCGGATGCGTTGCTTAAGGAGAGCGGGGAGGCGCGTGTGTGTGTTGGTGCGAATGTGTGTGCGTGTTCATGGTAGGAGCGGGACATCAGCGGGGGGGTGAACGGAGGAAACTTAATGTGGGCATGAGGGAACAACTTCAGCGGTGGCGGTGAAGGAAAACATGCAAAACCAACTTTTATAAGTCTGAATTTGTGAAGCAGTGTGGTCTTTTATTTTTATGCCATCTTGTTGATTCTATGTAGTTATTTTTGACAATGACAAGTGAGCGAGGAAACGGGCAGCCCTACTTTGTCTTTTTATTTTGTTTCCCCTCCCCCCCCCCCCTTTTTTTTTTTTTTAAATCATTAGTTGCAACCTTCAACGTTGACACGGCGTGTTTTCTGTTCCATAAATAATCCGTGGGGCTCGGAGGCTTCGGATTCGTTCACACGGGTCAGACTTGTTCACGCGGCGTCCTCGGCAGTAGAGTTTTTGAAAATGAGTCGTGTTTGACCGAAGGTCTTTCTGATGCTCGAGTCCGATTTGCGGCCTTCAAGCCATAAACACTCATTTGAGAATTCCAATTAGCAGCTGCGAGCCTGCCTTTAAATATCCGGATGCGGCGGTGAGCTCGTACTACCTAATGAACTCACTCGTCCGCCCCTGAAAGAAGTCATCCAAATGCGTTCACTCGGTTCCTGCATATTTACATACTGACACTGAAAGAGCCAGGAAGTCCTGTTTGCTGTGATACTACATGGATGTACTGGGGGAGTCTTTGCTGTGCCACCATTACATGAATAAAATGTTCTGCTTCTATTCAAATGCAACGTGTTTATACAAGTTTCTCTTTGTCTTTACCGTCCTGTTGGTGCTAAAGAGTTTGGAAAAATTAAGCATGTATAGTTTTTGACGGAACGTAAGTGCTGTGGTCCAAAGATTTAGGGTGTATATTTTAGCCTTTTTGCTTTTCGAAAGTACAAAATAAATATACAGTATTAATCTAAAGTCTGCACACACCTTCTCATTCAATGTTTTTTTTCCATATTATTTGGTAAACCAGAATATTTTATAGTTTGGGTTGCAGCCACCTTTTTACCTTGATGGCAGCTTTGCACACTCCCCAGTCAGCCCTTGCTGCCTTGTTGAGCTTTTCTTCCATATGTAGTCCTTCATGGTGTTTATGTCACCAATATTATTCTACAATGTTGAAAAACATAAAAGAACCGAGAATGTGTGAAAGTACTGTATATGGCTAAATGTGTTTTGGCTCTAAGCAAAGACAATCCATCTCATTCAATGAAGCATTATGGCCTAGAATTATTGTTATAAACTTAAATGATTTCAAAAGTAAACAGAATAGCCCATTTCAGAATAATATACAGTCGCTGGGCACTTTATTGGACACTTGTTCAATTGCTTGTTGACAGAAATTGCTGATCAGCCAATCACATCGCTGCATTCAGGCCTGTACGAAGTTCAAACCGAGCATCAGAATGGAGAAGAAAGGGGGTTTAAGTGACTTTGAACGTGGTTGTCGGTGGCGGACGGGCTGTCTGAGTACGTCACAAACCGCTGATCTACTGGGATTCTAGCGCACAACCCTCTCTGGGGTTTACAGAGGATGGTCCCAAAGAAACAAAAGACCCGTCCTGCCTTGTGTCAACCGCTCAGCGAACTGCAACGCGCCCCGCGGCCCGTGGGTGGCGGACGAGAGCTGCCCTTCTGCCGAAAACGTCATGACGTCACGACTTCCGCCGCGTGGAAACGTCACGACGTCGTACGCCCATTCGGAAAAGAAGCGCGACGGCTCAACCGTCCCGGCAACAAGCCCCTCGGTTCGCGCTCGCGTGAGAGGCGCGGAGCGGAGCAGCATGGCGCCGCTGAGGCCCCTCAGCCGGCTGCCCGGCCTCAACTCGGCGAACGTCTTGGTGAGTTTGCGCTTCTCTGAGGCGCGAGCGGCGCGTTAAATACGTCCTCGCGTCGCGTCCCGCTTCTTTAGACGTCTACTCCACGGACGCTGGAGCCCCGGGGCCTCGTTTATAAGCGTTGCGTACGCACAAAAGAAGGCGTACGCAACGCTCTCTACGCAAGAATTGGTATTTGTAAAAAGCAAACTTGACGGAAAAAAATGTGCGGTCCTTCACGCGAGCTCGGACCCACAAAAACGGGTGAAATGAGAAGAAACACGCAAACGTGTGTGAAAGTGTGTGAAACTAGACTGTTGTAAATGAAATGCCAATACTGCCTCATAAATAACACGAACACCCGATCGATCTGCAGCGTAAAACAAACAAATACTAATTAACACATTTTCAAAAAGAAAAGTGAAATATGTTCTGCAATAATATCGGCATGTTATTAAACTCATCCTCAAAACACAGCTGTTGCTCGTCAGATGCAATCAGACGGACGGTAATAAAACGCCGTGATGACGTCACAATGCGTAATGGCGCTGATGGCTGATCTCGCGCTCGTAGGAGACGTGGCACATGGAAGCACCGTCGGCCTGTTTAAGGGCAGATGGCGCTGGAGGAGGTTGTTGTTTACTCCTGAGAAGCTGTGAAACATCCTGCGTGTGCTGTGCTACATGATGTGGCTCAGCTTCCAAACGCGCCTCGACCCCCTGACGCCGATGCTGGCCCAGACCCCGTCCCCGATCCCCGATCACTGCCGCCAGTCTCTCATCAACAGAGCCCCACCCTCCCCCATCACCCTGTGTGACTCCCCCGTCACTATTGTGGACTCCTTCCGTTTCCTGGGCTCCATCATCACCCAGGTCCTCCAGTGGGAGCTGAACATCAGCTCCATCACCAAGAAGGCTCAGCAGAGGTTGTTCTTCCTGAGGCAGCTGAAGAAACTCAACCTGCCAAAGACGATGATGGTCCACTTCTACACGGCCATCATCGAGTCCATCCTCTGCTCCTCCATCACCGTCTGGTACGCTGCAGCCACAGCCAAGGACAAGGGCAGGCTGCAGCGTGTCCTCCGCTCTGCAGAGAGGCTGATCGGCTGCAATCTGCCGTCCCTGCAGGACTTGTTCGCTTCCAGGTCTCTGAAGCGAGCTAAAAAGATCGCGGCCGACCCCTCCCACCCCGGACATAAACTGTTTGTGCCCCTTCCATCTGGCAGGAGGCTGAGGTCCATCAGGACTACGACCTCCCGCCACACCAACAGTTTCTTCCCGTAAATTTTTAACTAACTTTATTCTCTTGTTTTATACTAACCCATAGCCTTATTCTACTAACCCATTGCATTACCATTTTACTTTATTTTATTACTTGTGCACTACTGTCTTCCTTGTATGTTTGACATATTTTGGCGATAAACGTTTCCTGATGATTTCGCAATCGATGAATATTCATTTGTGGGCGTTCCACAGACTATATTTGGGCAACTGTGGGCGTGACATGAAGCCGCAAAAGCTGCGCTGCATTTAGAAGTGATTGATTTATTGAGGGAAAACTGCGTAGGACGTGCGTGCGCACGGTTTTACAAGTGAATATTTCTGTGTGTACGCACGTCCTGCGTTTCATCCGTACGTCACTTCATGCGCAAATCATACGCAAGCTTTTATAAATGAGGCCCCAGATTGTTCATTCAAAATATGAATTACCTAATACATTTGAGTCGTTGTTTATTAGTTTATTCTTATGAAATAATATAGTTTTAATCTTCAGCGTTAACAAATCTATCAAATTAAACATTGTAAAGAATAAGCCGTGTTTTTCGGATTCACATATTTCGTGTGTGTGCGTGTTTTGTTGTTTTGTCCTCCAGCTGGTGGAGAGCGAGGAGCAGTTTCAGCAGAGATTAGCAGACCGCCTGGTGGAGGAGACCACGTTCACCGTCAATGTGTGAGTACCGAGCACCATGTCGTCATGGAAACCGCTGAGTTCAGCTGTCGGGAGGATGTGGTCAGTAAGCACGCGGCTGGCAACGCCATCCGCTACAGGGACAGTTGTCATTTTGACCGTGCAAAGTGTTTTCAACCCTCGTACGACTGGTGACGTGAGCGCGTTGTCGACCTCTTTCCCATCCGCACCGGCCCTCCGGCGTGGCCTTCGCTGTACCCGTCCATCAGGAGGCTGGCCAAGAGTCTGCCTCTGCCCGTGGAGAACGAGGAGAGCCGGCCGAGGATCGACCTGGTGGTGTTCATCATCAACCTGACCTCGGAGCTCAGGTATCTTCCAAAGCCTTCGTCTTATTCTAACTGAAATGACCCGGAAGTACTTACAAGGCTGCCATGATGAATGATCTAGGATCTAAGGAAAGGAGCTTCAACGCATACTTGCTTAGCTCCTTTACCATAGGAACCACTAGACCATCCTTTAAAAAAATAAAGGAGATCTATCCATCCCACAATTCCTTGGGGCTGCGATATTTAAATAGTTTCATTCGGTCGTGGGCGAGAAATAACGATCATGCCAGAAAAACGCAGATCATGTAAGTAACCGTTAGCAGAAGTTGGAAATGTTTAACTAGTTAAGTAGGAGAACTTTCAATAATCTGTCAAATGTATTAAATTATAGTCTGGCTGCTACAGACTGACGTCACTAACGTATCATGAATTCTCCTAACCATTTTTCCTTGACGTGACGTTTTCCACAGAGAAATCCATATTGACCTTTTTTTTGTTTGTTCACAGTTTACAGTCAGCAGAAGCTTCGGTGAAGTGTTTGGACCACAGATATTTCCTTGGAAAAGTCTCCTTCATGGTCACTAATGGTATGGCGACTTGTTTATTTGAGCAATGACAGTAACAAGATGCCTCCCAGTGTTTGTGAAATGGTCCAATTTGCCTCTTGTAGCTCGTAACGTGGCGGCCCCCGGCGAGCGCCTGGACGCCGTCAGGAAGCTGGCTGCCTCGCTGCACTGCGCCCTGCTGTTTGCAGAGGATCAGGTTTGTATCTGCGTTAATGGTGGTTTAAACCTCACACACACACAGGCTACGTCTTCAGCCTTACTCGCCTTACATCCACCATCGAGCAGAATTCCAGGTCGAAAGTCTGGTCGTGTTCCTTCTTCAGGGCCACACAGCAAAAGGCCGGACAAATCACTCCTCTTGCACTCAAGCTGGGTGAGAAAAGGATTCGCCTCAATGTCCAACGGTCATACTGACCCGATGAGAGACGATGAACGCAGCCGAACTCTCCCTGAGGCTTCCGTTAAATCATTCAGCGGAGTTAGCTCACCTGCTACGAACGACCGACGCGCACACCGATCCACTCACATGTGTTGACATGCATCGTGCATAAGCGTCAGCGTAAACTCCAGTCTGAGCAAACACAACCAACTTCTTTGTGTGGGTCAGAGCAGCAAACGTTGTCTCCAGCTCTTTTCTGGTGCGTTTTGTAAGCCGTCCTGTGTGGCGTTCTTCCCCCTCCAGACACCAGACGGCGTGACCAACGCCACAGAGAGGCTGCTGACCATCCTGAAGGTGGCAGCCGGCCTTGTTCCCATGACTACCGCTCTCTACCTGTCCAACCTGACCCGCGGCACCGCGCTCCGGGACATCGACCAGCCGAGCTTTGATTAAGTTGTGTTTGTGCGCGCTCTCCCAAAAGAGATTTCCCCTTTTTGTTTGACGTAATGCATGTGTGCAGCTGCAGTTTTTTTGTTCAGACTTGCGGAGGACTCCTTCAGCCTCTTGAGTCAGGCTTTGATACGGTGTCTTTATCACCATAGAGCTGTTAGCGTAAAGCTTTTACAAAGCAGCCGTCTGTCTGATGGACGCGTGTTTCAACAGGGCGAAAAGGGACGTAAGTTATCACTGTTCATTATGGTCCCGTTACATCTTCACATCCAAATCCTATGAGTCGCACACAAGAACTCCATGTAGGTCGTGTTAATTACACTTCAGTTTCACTCGTCGTTATTAAAGTCACGAGTGACGTCGCTAATTGGCTGTTTGTTTCGACGGACCCCTTCATCTCACAGTGACTCACAGCTACAATAAATCTCCATTTCTTGATGCATAATCAATCATTTAAAGATTATCTACACCGTTACAACACTCACATAGATTTGTCTAATAGTTTTAGCGGATTAGAGCTTTAGTTGATTGAAACAATGTTGTTTCCATAGTAGCTGCTCTAACTTTGAACCTGAACAAAGGTCTAATCGCCCTGCTTTAAACAGACATAAAGAACCTGTGTTGCATTTTAGATTATACTGCGGGAACCAGAAGAACCTGGTGGTGCATTGCTTAAGTCAATGCCCAGTGTATATAATTCTAATGCAGCACCATATGCCTTTATGTACATAATGTGTGCATTGATGCTTTTAACAAAGAACGTGTGTCAACACAGTGATATTACACATTAAATGTTCCTGTTGCCACTGATTGGATTTGAGTCTTCTGTCCTGAATACCAGTAAAATGCTTAATTACTGACTAGATAGCCAAGATAATATGAATAAAGAAAATAAATGTTGCAAAACAGACCAGTGTGTTAGTTTGACTTGTCCTTTACCAGTTTAGATCAACCTCATATTCAATGGCTTCATGCTGCATTAACACCCAAAAGATGAATTTAATGAAGAACGGTCGTCTTGGACACACTGACGCTGTGTGATGCATTCAAGTGTTTGTTATTTTTGCTTGTGTGTGTATTTGAATACTTGATGTTTTCTACCTGAACTGAATTCCATCAGATGCTGTGTTGTTACTATTTTGAATCTGGCGAGCGCAACATTTTCTTCTGAGTGATGCGACCCTGCCATGACCTTCTGCGACCTCCACCCTCAGCCGGTGAAGCCCGTCTGTTTGTAGGCGGCACCCATGTCAGCGAGGACGACGGCCATCACGTTCTTTAGGGCTCGCTGCCCGGCGCCATCCGGCCACGCCTCATCTTCCAAGACGTTACCGACGACCTCTGTCAGGAATCGGTCTCATTTAAATAAATCACTCTTACTCTGTTGAGTTCCCCCACCTGTGGCCCTCCTGCTCCCATGTCCCCGGTGGCCTTGTGGGTTTGGTTGTTTGTTGCAGGTGCTGATTGGGGTGTCGTCAGCTGGCTGAGCCACACCTCAGCCAGGGTGGCACAGCCTTAAATACCGTCTCCATTCTGCACCCAGGGGTGCTGAGAGGACCTGGTGCGCCTGGCACTGGACCGCTGTGCTGTTCTCTATACATCCACTCATATCTACGCTGCGCCACTGATCACTGATACCACCTTATGGGGAGGGATTGTTGTAAACCATAGACTTGTTCCTGCTTAGTAGCTGTAATGGGAAAATGATATGTGACCCTTTTAAATGCTTCATTTGTATAACCAGTTTATTAGTTGCAAGTGCTTAGATCACAAAGGCCCTGACATACGAACTGATGTCTCCCACTTGGATTAGATGTTTCCAGCGGCATAGCTGTAGAGACTGAACAAAGTGTTTGTTATGTCTATGACCACCTTTGTTTAAGCATGTTGGGAGAGCAAGGACACGGTCAAAGAACTGACGTGTCTCACATCCGCAAGGTGTTCCCAGTACCCTGGCTGTAGAGACTCAACAAGATGGTTAACGGTCTCTGTTGACGCCACCGATATCTAAGTTTAGGTATAAGAACTGCCTCGAGGTGTTGGGAGGAAAAAAGAGGTTCTTGACAGTCTACTGACCACGTAGCTGTTGTGACCCTTTTTCCCTTGCAAGGAAATAAACGGAGAAAAGACATACTTGACTCAGAGCCTTTGATTCTTACTTAACGATTGTCTGTGCAAAATCTTCCACCACAATATGGTGTCAGAAGTGGGATCGTTTGAAGCTCCATCGGGACTCCGAGGACGTCCGGGAAGGGGCCACTTCAGGATCCACCAAACGTGATTCTGCCCTATACCTCATCACACTCAGAGAGAGGGGACCGGCGACCAAAAGAGACCTGATTGGCTTCAACACGATCCGATGAGGAAGATTTTCACACAAATCGGGTAAGAAGTTGATATTCTGATTTTCAAACGGGGCTTCCTGAATTATAACGGGTGATAACAGATTACAAAGACGGGTATTTAGTACTTTGGGATTTTTTTTCTCTCTTCTTAGAAAATCCAAATTTCGGTTATTTGATTGGGCTTCTAATGATGATAACTTGTCTTTTTATCCGGTTATTTGAAAAATGTGTATAAAAAGAGTAATTGTACAGTATTTCCGGTTCATCAGCATCCAACTTTTTACTGAGGAAGACAGGGAGCAATGTGCGCATTTACGATTGTATTCAGACTAACTATCTGAAAATTGCATAATTGTGACCCTTGACCAAAAAGGGGAAGACAGGGAGCAATTTGCGTATTACGATTGTATTCAGACTAACACTCTGAAAACGCATAATTGTGACCCTTGACCAAAGGGGAAGACAGGGGCAATTGACAATTGTGACCCTTGACCGAAGGGGAAGATAGGAGGGATTTTGAGAGTTCACTGAAGTCGCAAAATCTCAGCCCTTGACCTAACAGGAAGACAGGAACAATATCGGGATTTTCGGACAGAAGTCTGAGAACAGATATTTGCGCCCTTGACCTATATTTATTAACCAATAGTTCTGGTTGGGTTTTAACTTGTATTTTTCCTATGTAAAAGAAAATCAAGACTTATAGTGACGACTATATTTTAAGTAATAAAAAGTATACTTCACCACGCCTGAAAGATGGGTGGTGTACAGGGTAAAGGTAAAAAGGAAATGGGTTCTCCGGAGGGACCCATTGTGGATCTGATGAGAAGGAAATATGGAGATCAATCTCTAAAGTTTTTGCCCGAGTGGTCAAAAGATTTTGGGTTCCCTGCAAATGGTTCTTTCAGTAGAATAAAACTGAACATGTTACGAACAGGCTTAGAGGGAAAAGAGAAGGGTATAAAATCTCAGAGGGTGATAAAAGGCAAAGACTTGGAGGACATTGAGAAACAAAGTAAATGGTTAAAATGGTGGGAGGATGAATGTGAATGTAGAGAAAGGAAACAAATGGCTAAAGAATTGACATGCGCAAAAACCACATTGGTTGAAAAACCAGATCCAAATGTTATTGAACAAAATGACCGATGTGCTTCTTCTCCCTTGTATCCGAGTCTCACAGGGGCTGGCGGCCCTCTCCTCAACACATGCCCACCACCGTACCCTGCTTCATCTGCGAACCAGCAACCTCCGTCTGCATGGTCACAAGCTCCAAAAGTTCACTACACCCGGCAGAGGGAGGAAAAGGAAGCGGCAGTGAAAGCAGCACAGGAACGACTCCTCGGCGAAGAGGAGGAAAAGAGACAGGCTGCTCTCCTCACTCGCTCTCGCTCTCCAGGAGCAACCGGAGGGGACACTTCTGCCATCAACAAACTGATCACAGAGCAACCATCTACATCAGATGTTTTTTCCCCCTCCTTCGACCCAGAGGGAGTTCTCCCGGATGCAAAATCTGTGCTCCAAACCCCAATGATTCAAGTACCAGGACACTCAGGTCCCATACTTGTTTTCCGGCCTTGGACTGATACGGACATTAGAGCTGCAATGGCTCATCTCCCGCCGATACAGCACTCGGGAAGACTGTTTGCTGAAGCATTCATGGACTTCTGTAAGCAATTCCTGCCCAACTTTGCTGAAATTCGACGTGTTCTAATGAGTCACGTGGGTCCGACTCACTACCAAAAGCTCAACCAGCTGGTTGCAGGAGACACCAGTGCGGCAGACGTTGAATGGAGTTCAAATCAAAATAAGCCGTACAGAGACGCACTCACGGCTTTGAGCGACGGCATAAAGACATTGTTCCCTGACAAAGTGGATATGACTCCCATCAATAATACCAAGCAGGCAGCGGGTGAGTCCGTCCATGATTACTACCAAAGACTTCTCACAGTGTTTAATCTTAACAGTGGCATTCCACAACCCGCCGCGTTAGGAGACGCTCTGGGGACGTGGGAAACACACCTGAAGAATGCTTTCATGAATGGACTATTACCCGACATAAAAATGAATGTGCAGCGCTCTGTGGCTGGAATGGAAGACTCGCGACTCGCGGATGTAAAGAAACATGCTGCGCATGCGCAATCCATGGACATAGAGAGAACTGACCACGAGGGGAAAAGGCGCTCACGTCAGATTGAACTCGCCCAACTGACTATGCTCCAAGCTGTCACTCAACTTGCCAGAAACGACCGCCCACGGGATCCCAACCAACGGGGCGGATTCAGGGGGCGTGGTCGGGATATGACGAGGGGACGCTCCTCCTGGAACCAGGAGGGATCACAGCTGTCTCCACCCAATGACTATGATACGTGTTTCCGCTGTGGCGAACAGGGACATTGGCACAGAGAATGTCCACAAAATGCACCTCGTAGAGGATGGGGGCGTGGACTGGCCAGACGAGGAAGGGGTGGCAACGCACATTCCGATTGACGTGAGGCGGAGGGGGAGGAGGCTGCATGTGAGGGGGAGACGGCAACCATGCTGAGGCCTCACATGATAAGGGAAGTAAAACACACACACACCGCAGCCTGCAATGAAGAAACGCTTTCTGCACTAACTCCCTGCACGCACACTCACACTCACACTCACACACCAGAGCAACAACAAGCTCTCGTGGACATCACAGAGCAATTGAGAAAACAACAAAAGCTTTCACTTAAACACACATATGCAAAGTTTTCAGGAAAATCATTTGAAAATATGCCCACCACTATGGTGCAAATTCAAGGGAAACTTTTATCGTTTTTGGTTGATTCGGGGGCTACACATTCTGTAATACAACAAAAGTATTTTCCAGGTCAGAAACTTAGTGGAAAACAGGTTTTCTCACAAGGAGCTTCAGGGATGACTATTGTAGAGAGATTTACGGCACCTATGACCAGTACACACACTGACTCAACTGACCCTGAACCAGACATCACAGTAAAACATTCCTTTTTGCTGTCCTCTTGCTGTCCCATTAATCTAATGGGCAGAGACCTCATGTGTTCTTTCGGCATTAGCCTCATCTCCACTCCTACACTGAAAAAAATCTAACATTGGCTCAAATTAGAAAAATTGAGGTAATCGATCACAACTAATATTCTAGTGTTATACAATATAAATAATTCATTTGATTTGACCTGAAATATTTAACTTCGTGTAAACCCATTTCTGAAGGTTGAACCAAAGCAATTATTTCAGATTTTCCTAAATTAAAATAAATACATTGGTTTTATTGCTTAATGTAAATAATCTACTTTGTTAAACCTGAATATTTTAAATTCATTTAAACAACTTTTGAATATCGGAGAAAACTATTTTTTTAAGTTGTCTCAAATAAAAATTTAAAGTGATACTTTAATATTTATAGACCTGAATTAAAAAAAGATATTTTAATACATTTTGATTTAAACTCAGAAGCCATTCCTTTTCAACACATTTATTGTTGAATGAACATTTTTTTCAACATAGTCCCACCTTAAAAACAGTCCTTCTCAATGATGTCTTTTCCCCTCAAATACAACAGCAA